ACCAACACCACCACAGGGCCAACCGGCCGGAGAAGGGGCGGGGAACGCGCGGCCTTTTCCCACACCGCACTCCGCGGGGACTTAAAATGAACACCCACGGCGCAGAGCTGGAGGACGGCATATCTCCTCCGTCCGTCGCGTCGGTCCGCCCCCTCGGGGCGAGGGGCCGCAAGCCCGCAGCACGGCGTACGACTGGGCACGCTAACAGCGGCTCGGCAACAACCCCCGCGGCTGTCGCTCTCCTCCCGCCGCCCGGCAGCGGCAGCGGGTTGGCGCGGCGGAGCGAGCGCGGCGGGTGAGTGCTGCCCGCCCGAGCCGTGTGGGGGCTGCGGGGCGAACGGCGCTCGGGGAAGGCGAGGTAACGCCCGGTACGGGGGCAGCGCCCCCGACCCGCGGGGTCGGCCTGGAGCGGGGGGGGGGGGGTGTCCCCTCGCTGTGGGGGTTTTCCCTCGCTGTGGCTTCGCGGCTCCCGGTTCCTTGGAGGGTTTGAGGAAATTCGGTAAATGGTATCGCAGTGGACACCTCACCCTTTATAAAAAGTGAGCCTATTCTGCCGGTGGCTGTGGTGTTCTAAGAGCGGAAAGCAGAGTGGAGTTTGGGGGGTGAATAGCCTTAAATAGAAAAGGGGATGGCTTAAGCTATGAGTAGCTTGAATTTTGTCATGTTTCTCCTTAATGCTGCTTACTGAGCTAAGTAAAATATCAAACGCAGTACATCTAATCTAGCTGGAGCAATAGAAACTACCCTTCAGAGCCAACAGCACAGCAGAGCTCCAGCACTGCAGATGTTTTATTACTGGGCTTATTAGAAAATGTGCAAACAGTCCAAAGTTGCTCACTGCAGATTGGTGCGACAAGTTTTACACCTATGGGATTTGGCTTTCAGTTTCAAGCGGATCAGGAGAGCATAGGACTGAATGGGATGTCCTGGTATCACTAGCAGCTTTAGATTGTAATCTTGTTTGGAAATTGATCTAATTCATCTTGAAATCCAGTCTTGAAGAAAGTAAGGGCTGTGGGCCTTAAACCTTCATCTGCACCTTCTTACCATGTCTTTTGGCTATACTATTGCATTTCTTATTTTTATGATGTGAAGAATTGATGTGGAAACAGTAAGATGAGGGGAACATAAATGTTTAATGCCTTTGATGGTACAATGCCTGGTAACTCTTCTGCTTCTTTATCTTCTTCCAGTGAGTGCAGACTTGTTTCTATCAGAAGTTCCTAATGTTTTCATATTTGCGGTGAATGAATGTGGAGTCTTAATGTTGTGCTTTTTCTTCTAAATTTCAAGTAGAAACAGAATTGCAGGAAAACCACTGCATGTTAATAGCAGATGAAAAAAAAACATATTTTTAGCTCTTACTGAGTATGATGGAAAAGCTGTGTTATTAAGTTTTTCGAAGTTACTTGTTCAATAGAGTAATTTGAAATCACACTAGACGTATGTAAGCAGTATCTTGCTGAAAATTGTTACTTTCAAGTGTTTGGTAGTGTTTATTTACCTGAAGACTTCATTGAAAAGCTGAAAGAGTGAAGTTCTAACCATGTGTAATTATTGTCTAACTGAATGGTTAAGACAGTAATTTTGGCTAACCCAGGAAAATACTACTGCTTAAAAATTAGTGGTGAAGAACCAACCTGGATATAGTACTTTTTTCTCCTGAATTACAAAGTAGTTACACTAAACCTCCCTCCCCACCCAGCTTTCCACTAGCTCAAAACCCGCATCAGCTGATTGAGTGGTAATCAATGACTATGCAGTTTGAGTGATAAAGTGTCTGCTCATGTGTAGTCCACTAAATTCTGTAACTTGATCAGACTTTGTTGGACAGCTATAAGAAGATACTTGGGGGGAAAAAAAGCATAGTGTAGTTGAAGCTGCCTTTGACCTACTAATTTTGGTCACTGTCCTCAGGGCAAAGAAATTGTATGTAATCAGAAGCTTGTTATGTTTCTTTTAAGTCATAAGCTTTTGTTTGACAACATGAATGTTTTTCTTGTAAATTAAAAGGGAGTCTGCTAAACAACAGTTAATTTTCATGTTAAACAAGATATAGTTGAAAATGACTAAGAGATATGAAAAAATGTTTATGGCTGAACGGTTTTTTTCGATCTCACATGAAACACTGTGTTTACACCTGGTCCTTGAATTGAATTAAAATACAACACTATTAATTTGCTGAATTAAAACATGAAATTATTGGTAGTTCATTTACTTAAACAGCGTCTATCGTGATAAGATTGTATGAAATCAGGCTCGCAAAACTTGGGTATCTATGAGACCAACCACAGAGGCTGACTGACTATAGTGTCTTCTCTGCCTCTCTTTTTTTCTCTAAACCATCATACCTTTCTCCTTTGTGGGCATCATTGTTTAGTATTTGCTGCTAAAACTCCTGAAAGTCAGATCAGATGCTTTCAGTGAAAGTTGCTTTTCTTAAGGGCCCTGTACAAGTTTCTTAGGAGAAAGATTAGTCTTCTAATGCATTTCTTGCAAGGGTTGGTTGGAAGGTTTTTTTGTTTAATTCCATAATTTGTACTAAAATGAATACCTGTCAAACACTGAAACATTATGTAATAAAATCTTCTAGTACTAAGGAAGCAAAACAAAACATGACTTTCTCTTGTCCAAGAGATTATGTCAGTGTCTTTGAAACTCAGAGGTACTAGTGTAGTCATTGCAGGTGAATAAAATCTGTAGCATCACGAGAATTGCTATATTTTAGTCAAAAGGATGAGATAGGTGTGATTGATATTCAGTGATTTTGCTGTTTTTCTGAAGAGAATTGTCCTTCACCTGGATTTTGGCTCCCTTCACTTTAGGAATTAAATCAACTGATTTTTTTTTTCCTTACATTGTCCAAGAGGAGATTTGGTTACTACAAATGAGGTGATGTAATAACAAAGTTTTTGACCCTGGGAGCAGAATCTGTAACATACAGCCCTTCTCAATGGGTTTAAAATGGAAGATACTAAATTCATTGTTTCTTCAAATGGTAAAGTTTTAGAAAATCAAGTTTAACACCCATTGGCTCAGGTACTTTAAACTGTGTAAAAACTGTGTAAAGTTTGATTTGTGTTTTATATCTTCTTGGTCAGTAGAGGCAGATGGAGAAGTATGTGGAGAATTGAGGATACTGAATATTCAGGATAGTAATTGAAATTGGAAGTTTTAATAGAGTAACATTAAAAACTATGCAGGATTAGTATGCTACTGAACTAGAACAGGTAACCAGAAAACAATTGGAATCAACTAGTTTGATGCAATGCACTGCAGCATGTGTACATTAAAATTATAGTTTGGATTAAAAATGTGTTTAGGAACTAAATCTTCTGATTACTCCCACTTGCTGCCCTTTGATTTGTGTTGCGTAGCTATCCCAGAGCATGCAAGCCCTAGATAGGCCCTAGGAGCACATCAAATATGTTCTAAGAACCGTGGAGTCCCTAGGACAGGATTAAAGGTGGTCTGAAGTAAACACATGAAATCCATATGATATAGGTGCAGGTTTAACTCAGCAAATCTACTCTTATTTGTCCTGCATTCTGTTTATATAGCTGTAGCTCTGTGGGTACCAGTCAGAGGATGTTTATTGCTCTTCAGTTCTGGGGAGAATAAATAGAAAAGGAGATGGAGGGGAAAAAAAATTGAGGTCATCGAACTTTCTGCTACTACATCTTTGAAGACAAAAGTATTTTTTTCCTGATCTACCTGTTTCAATATACTCACCATTTACCCTGCAAAGTAAGAATATTGTACTTAATTTTAAAAAAGTTATTATTTTCATTGGTGGACTTCTCTATTTCTTTTTCCTGATGAAATTCAAGTTTCTTACCACCTGCAATGCATATACAGTTTCAAAACTCTAAACCATGTTCACTCATTCTGTAATGCATGTGAAATAAAGTGGACATAAGTGTATTATATAATTGTATCAGTTTTTGCTGACCATTCGGTTGCTTTAGTAACATTAAGTTATGCTATTGTATAAGTCTTAATTTTATTTTTATATCTTTTCATAAGTAAAACCAAAGTGACAGCAGTTTTTGAATAGATACTAAAATCATTATTTAAATATTTTAAAGGAAGCCTTTTGCCTTTCTTTTCCCCTTTTCTGTTTGACTTAATGTAACTTGATGTTTTATGAGTTTGTAACCTCTGCCAGTCTTGGAGTATGAAACACATCACCATCAAAGTGGAGATGTATGTCAGAAGTTTGTGGCTTCTGGAAAAATATCATTCTGTCTTGCAAATACTGGCGACTCAGGCAAAATGACTGAAGCATTGAGAGACTGACACTTATGTTTAGAATTGTTGAACTATTTATTTAGACCTCATGAAACAGCTAAACATGCAGCAACTGAAAAGTCCACTAGCTCTGATGATAGGAAGCTTTTCAGTATGCTGTGAAATTGTGCAAAGTTTAGACTTCAGTGATGAAGAAAAGACCTAAAATACAGATGAGCCCTCAAGTGTGAACACAGTGCAAATTGAGAACTATTATCTCTGTAAATACACAACCAGAAAGCTGCAGTGAGGCTATTGCTCCCCGAGGCTGACCCAAAAACCTCGCTACTATGCTTATCTGATTTCATTGTTGTGTTTTAGAATCCCATTGGCAGCAGTCAATCTGGTAAGAATGAGATGAGTTTTAACTCTGGAGCTTCTTGGGACAGGAGTGGAGACTTTAGAGCTGGCAGTTGCACTAGTCATTGGTCCTCCCTGACCTTTCTGTAAAGATAAAATACATGCAACTTTGGGTCACAAAAATGTATATAGTGTGCAAATGTTAAAACCAAAACCAAATACAACTTCTAGATATAAAACTCTGGGCATAATTTTATACTATTAAGGCTTAAGTGGAAACATTGAACAGGTTGAAACTTTTAGTGAATAATATTTGTACTGATTAGTTACCTGTCACAAACACTTTCTGTGTCTGCTTAAAATAGTTAAATGGAGAATGGACTGAAATTACCTTCTGCTTCTCTTCACAGGCTAAAGAACAATGGCTTCCTTCAGCAACCTGACTATCGGCATTGCTGTTGCCAGTTTTACTGTATTTCAGCTCCTGTTCCATGTTTTAAGTTCCTGGGTGTCAACACGAATAACACCAGGTTTTAAAAATCTCAGCCAAAAAAGGAAGATTGAATGGAATTCAAGGTAGAGTGTTCAAAACAACTACAGCTAGTGACCTACCTGAAATCATCAACACCTGAACCACCCGTGTGTGTGTATATATAAGACTGCAGAAAACCTTAGTAGTTAGTTATTAGTTAAACATATGTAAAGATCTGAGGGCTGGCTTCAAGCACTCAACAAATTATGCATATGAAACGTTGAGACCGCTTCATGAACACACAGCATTACAAACACTTGTACATTAAACACTTTGTTAAACCGTGATGCTGACATGAAAGTCAGTAAAAAAAGAAAACAGTGCCTGGTGAGAGGTAATAGGCTGAAGTGACGCTCTGTGACACTTCTAGTAAAGAGAAGAGATACAAAATTCCATTTCAAACTGATATGAAAATCAAAGCTATTGCAATTTATTGCATGATCTAAATGCTAGTGTATCTCTGGGCACGCTTTTGGGTGCGGAGCAGTTTGCTCTCTGTTTTCTGGTGCTACTACGCTACAAACTGTTTTATGTAAGTTATGGTTTCCCAAGAAATTTAATATTTGGTATAGTATTTAAGAGAGTCAGGTTTGACAGGTACATCTATGTGTTGACTGGGAAGGAGACTGCAATAAGAAGAAGCTATGGCAGACACAGGGTATACATTCAGGAAAGAGTTGTGGAAACTCAATCTAAAAACCTTCCTCACTCCTTTTGTGTTTCTGCATTCCATCACTGAGATGGACCCACCTGCATTACACTTGTTTCCTCAGATAGAACACTGTTAGAAACTTGTTCAACCCTGTAATTCTTTTCTGGGCACTTCCCTCTCTCTTAAGCCATAAAAGAAGTACAGGGTGCTAATTGCAAATGGGATGATCAGTGAGGTTTTATTTGCAATATACTGCTCTGAGAGGGTATTTGTAGTACACAGGGTTCTCCAGTTGGTACAGTACAGCTTTGTTGGAGTAGCCTATTACAACTTCAAAATATTTTTTCAGACCTTTATCAAATTTGAAGTTTAAAAATATGTACTGTATGGCTGTCACTGCACTCAAAATGCATTAGTTGCATCACTGTTCCTCCTCAGTCATGTTTAGAGGTAGTATCAGGTGGATACTTTTAAAGTTGTTTCCATTGTTCTAGGCAGCATTAGCAATTCAAATAGTCTTGCCCTTCCATTTGGCAAATGTCCGCTTGCATTGTTCTTAAAGGCATCATCTTAATTTCAGTTCCATCTTTGAATAATTACCTATTGCCAGAACAACGTTGTAGGATGGCAGTTCATAATATCAGTGCAGCTTAGGTTTATCTCTCTGTTACAACTGATAATAGAGGCAGACAGGGAAACTAAACTGTTAGCATTTGGAGCTGAACTTCTGTCTCTAAGCCATATCAAGTGGCCCTTGAATTGCATAATAAGCTTTGTGAGAACTTTCCCCATGTGCTGGTGTAGTGCTTTGCATAATAACATATGAATTGTTTCGAACATAACAAGTGTGCTGGAAATAAGCTGCTCCATAATCTCTGGGCTACTTTGTAGTAAGATGTTTAACTGCTCAAGTTGATACAGCATCCCAGGCTATGTCCTTTTTTACCTCTTTCTGCGTTTTTTCTTGGGCTTGATAGCAGGATGTAGATGTTGGCACAGAGATGAGCTGTGATCCAGGACTTCATCCGTTTCTGAAGTTAGAAGGCATGAAACACAAACCATGATTCATCAACAGTTTATTGATGTTATACCTGAGGAGGGCATGAAGTGAAAGAAAGGCTAACTGTGCTTGTGCTACTTCAGCTCTGCTAACCAAACACAGTATTTGGTCAAACTGCCTTATCACTCCAGTATTTCACCAAAATTAAGAGACACCTCAATCTTCTAAGTTCAGAGAGGGTAGATGGATATATATTTATTCTGCAGACAGCTCTGCAGATAAAGTTACTGTTTCCCAATGAAATGAGTTGGGTTAACTTAAATGATTTAAAAGTAGATGGTTGTTATTTTGTCCTGTATTGAACTGGTGTAGGGAGTGCACACACAAATGATTCTGTTGGCAGTCCTGAAGGAAACTGGCACAGAGGATGGTTATGCATTTTTATCAGCTTAGCTGGGTCTGGAAGAGTGCATCTGCCTGAAATGGGCTGTAGCATTGAAAATATATTGTTACAGTTTGGAGGGCTTTGTAATTAAGAATTTGAGCTGCAGCTCTTTCCATACTGTCAATCTGTTCATTCTGACCTTCCAAGAATTAAGAACCAATAAAGTAAGTGGTTCTGGCATCTTAAGTATGCAGATGCTCAAAATGAGTTAAAAACTATATTTTGACACATGTAGTATAACTCCTCAAGTTGTTGTGCATAAATTCCTGTCACCTCTCCTATAATACGTTTGTACTGCTATTAAGTAGTTGTGGAAAAAAAAAATATATTAATGAAGGAACAAGTATGCACTGCTGAATTGCAACATTTTTGTTTGCAGTTTAACGAGGAGTTAAAGGATGCAAGCTTTGACAGGAATTTCAAGGAAATGTACGGAGCTTGATAACTTGACCTAGATTCCATATTAAAATGCAGTGTTGTACTATTTCCCTTCTTCTGTCCTGTCTTCTATGGAGAAACTTCAGAGTAAAGGAGGAAATCTGCTTCTGCTGCCTTTTTTTTTCCTTTTATTTCTCCCCCTTCAAGTGCTATGCTTGTGTCTAGCTTGTGTTCTAAACACTTAGGTTCAAATAAACAGCCACTCCAGAGACAAATGCAACTGTAAACTCATGAGTATATTCTAGGACAAATTTTCCTTCTTGCAGCTTTATCCTCTCCTCAAGTTCAAAAATTCCAGGTTATTTCTCAAACACTAATAGTGCATGCCTTACTTTGTTTTAAAAAAGGAAGCAAAGTTCCTGTCTTTGTTAATTCTGTGTTGTAAGAGTAGACCTTTTAATTAAACAATTGTCATTACAATTCCAATAATTAAATTTTCTTTCTTTGTTAAAAAAAACGGGGTGGGGGAAATGTAACCTGTGCTATAATGGCTATTAATTGTTCTCATCCAGCTTCTCTTACATTTGGATTATTAATCTCCTTTAATTTGCTGGAACACTATTGAAAAGGTGCTGAAAATAGCACGATGACACTCTTTAAACAAATTGTAAATAGAGTCTTCTTTTATGAAAAGTTACAGAATTTTCTATTGCCAATAGATAATAATATAACTTCTGGAAACAGAATAGGGATTATAAGCTGCTCTTTCTTTGCAAAGTCTTCCACAGGAAGGAAGATGTTTTCTTCAGATCTTGAATGGTAAGAGTTTGGACTCCTGAGAGTGCCTTAAGGACATTTAAAATATTACTGACCTCCAAATACATGTATTCAATGTGTACAAAGACTAGTCTAGTAACTAACAGCATTTGTACATTTGTGTGCATATTGTTAATGCTGTGAATATGGTGTGAAGATGTTTCCAATCACACAGCATTGAACCTAGTTCTCATCTTTCAAACAGTATCCATGATTCAGTACAGCTGTTTTGTCACATAATTTTTCTGTATTCCTAGTCACACTTGAAAAATGGGAAAGTGGACAGTAGCTACACAATATTAGATGCAGTTTACAGTAGTGTTAAACCCATGGCTAGAGAAAGAAGGTTACACAGTTTGGACCCGTGCCCATTGCATTGTTCTACCTTCCAAGAATACATGTGGACTCAAAAGGGCAGGAGTGGTGCTGGCCTGTGTGCTGGCAGAAACCCTGCTGGGGCCTCTGTAAATAGGTATTTCTCTTTAAGTGCTTGTTAACATGCAGAGTTTATCTGCAGTGTGCATGCAGCCTGTATACTGGAGACTATTGTCTTTGGAAAAAAAAGTGTTGAGTACTTGAAGCAGAGACAAAGCAACTGATTACTGTGGCATATTGGAGGAGAGAAATATAAAATAAAGCTGCAAGCTGCTAGTTCATATGAACTTGTAGCTATTATACCTCGGGTACTCAGCTACAACATTTTGTTATAAAAGTTTTATCTTTGAAAACCAGACTACTTCAAATGCACTAGAAGTTCTGTCTGAAACTTAAGATTTTTCATTTAATGCCACTTTCCAAACCTGAACTTGGCAGAGTTGTTATGGGTCATCTATTAATTTGGTGCCTGAAAAGAGAAACCTGCTGCTGCAGGACTCACGAGCCAATCCAAATATGAAATGCACACAAATTTTCCAGCAAATGGGAGAATCCAGAAAGCATTTGTTAGAGAACTAAATATCATATTGTCTTTAAGGATTCATTAATATATGGAATAATTGGAGGAAAATTTAGATCTGTGTTAACTTTTGAGGCTCTACTTTCTATCTAGTATCACCAATCCTGCTCCAATCTAATGGATTCTTTCTTTTTGACTGTTTTTTCCTGCCTGTCATTGGGTAAGTGGCTGGATATAGCGTAAAGAGCAGATGACTGTCTTCCACAGAATTATCTGGATGGAGTTGAGAATGTCTTTGGAAACGTCCTACCTTAAGCACAGTAATAAGAATTTGTGAATGGCAGTATGCCATTGTGACTGTGATCTCTTTTTCAGGACAGTGTCCACATTCCATGCCTTGGTGGTTGGAGGGTTTTGCCTATATATTTTGTTGTACGATGATGCTGTTAATGCTGACCATCTCTGGTAAGGCACGTTACATATATATTGTGTTTACACAATAAAATAACATAATTGAGGAGAAAAAAAATCCTGCAGTGTATTAATTACTGAAATAATTATTTCATTTCCCTTTAAAATATGCAGTTGTGATGTGTCCATTTTTATGTCTGTACTATTTGAAAATCTGATAATTATTTTGTCAGTATTAATGTCTTAGTTCAGTGTCTACCTGTTCAGAATAGGTAAAATACAAGCAATTGATTTGCAATAGCGTATTAAATTACTAAAGAGTAAACTGTGACTAAGTCAGCATGACTGAAACTATGCTCTTTACTCTAATAATTTTAAAGTGAAATTGAAAAGCTGTTGCAGATCTGGAGAGTGTATGTCTGTGAAAGTTGGAGTGGCCTATTATATGTCTAAAATATATATGTCTAAATTGATAAATGAAGATGTTTATATTTCTGCCTCCCATAAAGCTCCTTCAATCTTCATTTTAACAAAAGTATGAAAGTTTCAAGAGCTAAACACTTCACAAGCAATAGGAATATTTAATAAATGGGCTTCTAATATTTTATCTAGTTAACAAAATATTCTATAGTAAGCTTATATTTTCTTGATTTTTTTTTAATGATATTGTTTTGTTTCACACATTTTTGAGGGAGGAGGAACAATATGGCTTCATTTTGTTTGAGTTAATTATAGATTGGTACCAGTGTTTTGATACTTCACTCATTACCCTCTGGAACTGTTTCCCTATAGAAGGAGGAGACCATATTTTTCCTGAGGAATAGCTAATTATTTTAAGTTTCATTTCATGTTTCTGTCATAGACTGTTGCATTTCACCTTGTCAAAGGACCACACTGGGAGACAGTTTAAACTCACATAAATACAGTATCTGATGCTTGTTCTGCTCTTACATTATTGTAAGTTAATGACAATGTAGCATGGACTAGACGGCATTGGGTTCTTGAAGCATTCTGCCATGGACCTGTTATGTGACTTTAATAAATGTAACACTAATGCATAACACATATTTAGGCAACATTGGCCTCTTCTGTATGTAGTGATATATGATTAAGTTGGCTGCTTTTTTTTTATTGCATCCTGATATCTTTAGAGAGATCAAATACAGTCTGAATATCTTATGAGATCTGTTAACCCTGTTGAAAAGCAGCATGTTATTGTGACTCTCTTGTTGAGTGTTGTAGGCTTTATCAGATAGAAGCTTTTATCCTAGTTTGTCTGAGGAGATGTCGTTCTAAACAGTACAAAAGAAGTCATGAATGGAAGAAATAAAAACCTCTTGGTGATGACAAATAAATTGGATCTTTACATTTCCTAAATTTTCAGAAGCAATTCCAAGAAAAATTCAAATTAAATAGGAATCAAACTATTTTTGTTCTTAGTACGTTTGAGAAATTTTCTGTTGCATTATACATAAATAGATATTTTTGCATAATATATTGAAAACTTAATGTTGCTTATGAAGCCTTAGTAAGACTGAAGAGGAAAAAACCAAATTATATGGGAAACACCAGATGGACTGTTACAAGGCTGCTCAGTCTGGGAATGTAATGCCCTTATAAGATGTGGGACTTGGTCATTTACAGACATGAAGGATGCATAAGCCTTTCTGTAGGAATCTCTTATTAATAATACAAGAAATATTTGTGAATCTAGTTTCAGTAGTTTGTGAGTAAATGTCTAGGAATCCTTCATGCAGGTTGGTTGCACAGCTCTAGCCCAGGTAGTCTGAAAATGCTCAGATTTTTGACTGCTGGGAAGGTTTTGATACAGACAATCTTTTCCTTTAGTTATTTTCACCATCTTTGTGTAGTCATTGACTGTATGACAGTATCCAATCATTTTTTTCTGTATAATTTAAAGATATCTATAATGAAAAATCTATAATGAAAAACCTATTATCTGTAATGAAAAATCACCAGTTCTGAGCCTCTACATATGCCAGCATAACTTCTGGGTTCATGCAAAGCTTAAATACATGGTGATAGTGATACCCCAATATCTTGGAAGGGATCAGAACTTCTGCTAAGGGTTTGGGTTCAATGGAGAGAGAATTGTGGTATTACTGAAAATAGATAGGATAGCTCATAACAAAGACTGGAGCATTGGTAAGTTACAGGGAAGCATCAGTGTTGTGTATATATACATTTTTTTTATGGTCTGGAACTTCTCCTCACGCTTTTCCTTTTTTTCTATATGTACTACAGACTAGCTAACATAAACTATGTAGAAATTGTTTTTGAGGTGGTGAGAATCACACAGTAGGAAATGTGGAGGTGGTAGAGATCAGATAAGGAGAGGGAGAAGATGTAAATAAGTGAAATAAATGAATTAAGTTGTAGTCTCTTTCCTATGACTGTTCACTTTAAAGTCATTACAGTTTTCAAAGTCTGATGTTTGATTAGCCTTTTATATGACTGTATCTGCAAAGAACTTTGAAGAAAGTCAGTTGTGTACTTTTGTTTGTTCTGTCTGCCTGTGCATGTTCACGTGTAATTCATTTGCCACACATTCTTCCGTAGCAATCACCAAAGAGATAGCTCTTCCCATTTGCTTATTCAAGTCACTCCCTGTTTGTCATTCCTGGCTCTTGCTTGCATCAAAACTAGGCTGCAGACATCAGGGCTCATTAACTCCATTGCACTTTCCATTCAAGGAGGTAGATGAGGAAATCTGGAATATTTTAGACTAAACTCTAAGTTTTCCGTTAATTGAGATTAATTTGGGATTCTAACATGGACTTTACTTGAAGGGAAGAGACAGATGGACAGTGCAGCCATATATGTTGAAGTGTTGGTTTAGAAAGTCTAGAGAAGGTTTGTTGCAAAGTGACCGTTCTCTGGGGAAAAAAGAAGGGAGGTGAACCATTCCCTGTCTTATCCAGTTAATTCATGTTTACCAATATCAAGGAACAAATTTCATATACTCAGTCTTCTCTGGAAAAAAAAATATGAAGGCTCAGTCTTTGTGCTGATGTGTTGAAGTGTGTTGGGACCACGCAGAAGTTGGGTTGTGAAGCTGCTGCTGCATCTGGGAGCTCTAACAGGAGGGCTGTAACTAAAGAGTTTCTGCTAAAGTTGTGAGAACACATCTGTCTATGCTTTATGTCTAAACCTAAAGATGTACTCAACCCACAACCTACGTAGCTCATGAAAGCAGGTTTTGAAGCCATGGAAAAATGTTCCTATCTCAAATTGTTTTCAAGAGCGCCTCTGTGGCCAACCTTAAGAGATGGAGTGAGCTTCAGACTCTCCTGATAGTGTTTTTTCTTTGCCTAGCAGCACAATTCTGATTTTGGGAGTCCTATTTTCCTGTTAGCTACCCTCTCAACGAGGGAAGCAGTTAGTTTCAGACACTAAGAAAGCCTTAAAATTTAGTGAACAGATTTTAATAATACAGGAAATCTCTTTCACTGCTCGCTCCATTTTAATAGGATTAGGAAATTAAAGCTAAGCAATAGCATTTTACTGTGTTCTGGCTGAGGTAGACTTTGTACTGGAGGTGGCTGTAAGCACAGTTAGGTTCCTTTTTTTCTTGGAAAGTTTACCACAAAGGTTGCTTTCACAGCTTGTCTTGGGCAGTCCACACTTTATGAATGGGTTGATCTGTCACTTGAAACTTGATTCATACTTACACAAAATGTAGCTAGATTAGTTGCACAACTTACTTAAAAAAAATAAGTTATGATCTTTATGTCAAGGGAAAAGAGATTTGCTTACCAAACTCCTCAAAGTAGGAATGCACAGAGGACAGTAGAGGAAAGTACAAATGTTGCTTGCTGTAATGTGTATACTTCCATTTTTTATCTGTAATCACAAGTCTGGGTTTGTTGAACACTGTAGAGGAACTGAAGTTGTGTGTGTGCTACGAAGAGATTTGCCTGCTGCATGTTTGGCACCAAAAAAGTGTGAAACTTCTCTGAAAAGCATTTCTCCTCGAAGGTTCCTTGGCTTCAAAGAACTGGCAAATAATTCCTTTCATGTCTGCTTCTATTCTGTTTATCCCTATAAGCATCCATCTGATTATGAATATGAAAAGCACCAGCTGAGCAAGACATTGTTGTCATCCTTAGGAAGGTTTTGACACAGGCAGAAAACAAAAATGGAGACACAGAGTGTCAGTTAAAGCTAAAAGACACTGACTGGGCTGTTCTCTTTGATCCTTAGTTTCCAGAGAGGCCAGCTCAGAGTACTTGCTGTGTTTGAGTTCTAACCTCTAGCAAGGCAGGACTTGATCCTCATTAGGTTAGTTAGTGGATGTCTTTTATCTGGGTAGAAAAGGAATCAATTTTCATGACTAGAACCTTGCTTAACCAGATTGTGTAATATCTTACTGATGAGCCAACAATAAGGTGACCTGATGGACACTGTGTTTGATATGTGTATGTCCTTTGCAAATTACCTTGTTATAAGGGCTGTAACTATGTATTTTTGATATGTTTACAGGGGTGACCCTTCAATTGTGAAGCTGAATATTGCTATTACCACAGGCTACCTCATTTCTGGTAATTATGCAATGTGTATATAACACATACAACCTGTATATTTATATTGAGTGACTACACCTATCTATTCATACTAAGCCGCTATGCTGAAGATGTGATATGTGCATACAATACAATTTCTACTGTGACTTTATAATTGCTAATGGAGTTGTGGGTTGTGGTGAAATCACAGGATCTTGCTAGCAGATGTGAAAGATGGAATATCTCCCCAAGCACTGAGGAAATGCCACAGTGTGGCTTTGTGATGGTTTGATATGCAACCACCAACTCCAGCTCAGTTTTGTCCTTTGGCCAATCGAGGAGGTGTTAGAGCAATGCCCTTCACTCCCTTCACAGTGTCTACAACTTGTAGCTTTTTTATCATATGTTTCTTCCTGTGACCTCAGAATGCTGGCAGAAGAATTTTAGTAGCCCTCCATACAAACCGAGGCAAATGATGCCATTGGATCTTGCCTGTCTGTCTTTTAGTCTCACTTTAAGCCAAAAGTTAGTCGTGTATAAAACAGGGAAGTTTTAAATTATTTTCTTGGTATGGTCTTTACTCCTACATATGTTTTATGTTCTTAATTTTGCTGTCTACTAAAATTGTCATGGAAATTTTGCTACGAAATGCTTTGGAGCTTTCTTTTATGTTATGTGGGGAAAATAGCGACTTATCTAAATAAAAACTTGTGACTTGAACTACTTTCAGGGAAAACTTCTTGCGTTAGGATGAAGTCTCTGACCAGAGACTGGGCCATGGACTTGTTTATCTCTCAGATTAGATTACTTACCCTAGTAGAATTGATAATCTAGTGATTGGCACATTCAGTTAAACTGTGGGTTAGTTTAAGTCTGTTTTTTCCGTAACTACTTCTCCCATGTTTAAATTAATCAGTATCTATTTTTGAATAATTATGCATTAGATTTTAATTATGAATTAATGAATGCCTTTGAACAGGGATCTCAACCTGGCCACTCATTCTCTCTCACTTCCTTATATAGTTAATGTTTAATTATTAATAGGAAGTGGAATGGCTATGTCAGATGATATAGAGCCCTGCCTGAGGATAGCTAATATAAAAGAGATCAAGGCAGACACTTGACATAAAAAAGACACAGAGGTAAAGTCTTTGATTTGGAACCTTGGTCACTAATATTCCAGTCCAAAGTACTCACTTGGAGAAAGCAGGGTCAGAAATTGCTTGTTCCAGTACAGAAGAGAAAATCTGAAATCTCAGGCCATCATGAGAGAAGAAAGAACTTCTCTGTTAAAGCTTTCCCTATAACATTAACTCAGATCCACTATGTCATTTTTGCAGTAATTGGAAAATTTGGATTAAATAAATATGCTTCTCATTCCAAGTGTCTTTTGCAAAATATTTTGGTAAATGCTTCCCCGTTTTTGATTCAGAAGTTCCCCATAATAGATCCCTGCATTTATTGCATGTATTTGTGTATTTACTATGCCCCCTGTAGACCCCTCACCTTTTTTTTTTTTTTGTCACTTGTTCCAGATTTTTGGGGTCAGAAGTGTGAAGTCACTATGAGATTCAGGATCCACTTTTTCTTCCAAAATATTTCAGATAAAGTTACTGCTTTTGTCCTTCCATTGATGGGGAAAGTAATAATTTATTGCAATTGTTGGGAGAATACTGTTGCTTAATGTTTTGACTGAAGTGAAGTCTTTAGGATAAAGATACTCTCTTCAGAGATAATTAATTCAGAAAGTTTCTACTGATGCCCTATCTTGGCATATCTCTAAAACTTAGAGAAACTATTCTGAGGTCAATGGTTGTATAATAAAATGTTCTTTATAGTTATTTCTGTTCTTTTGTAGATCTGTTGCTTATTATTTACTACTGGAAGGCAATTGGTGACAAATTTTTTGTAATACATCACTTGGCAGCTCTGTATGCTTACTATTTTGTACTGGTAAGTGCTGTATTTTCTAGTAACATAACAAGCAGATGAGATTGAAGACAATGCTTTTATATATCTCATTTGCTTAATGTTGAAAAAATTTTTCACTTGCTAATGAAAAGCATATTTATACTTTCAATGATCATTCTTTCTAAATGTTTTTATCTGTTATTTGTGGTAAGCACATGCCTTTTCAGCGTTACACTCCTTCAACAAAAATGTGTAATGGCTGAAGTTAAAACTCTTCTCAGTTTTTGCTGTAAAGAGGCATTGACAGAGGGGCTTTTCATATGGTTATAGAAAAGGGTTTCAAATAAAAGCACAAGCTTGAATATTTAGTCGGAAAATTAGAAGGAAATGGTTTCAAGTCGTTATGTTCTGTTTCTGTCTCCCAGGTAACAAGTGACAGGATGAGAGGAAATAGCCTTGAGTTGTGCCAGGGGAGGTTTAGACTGGGTATTAGGAAGACTTTTTACACTGAAAGGGTGGTCAGGCATCAGAGTAGGCTGCCCAGGGAAGTGATGAAATTGCCGTCTGTGGAAGTGTTCAGAAGGTGTGTGGATGTGGCAGTTGGGGATATGGTTTAGTGGTGAACACGGCAGTGCAGGGTTAACAATTGGACTTGATCTTAAAGGTCTTTTACTACCTTAATGTTTCTGTGATTGTATTTGCAAGGCCATAGGTCAGTGATCCCTAACTGTGGTGAATGTACTATAGTCAGGTGGATGTGTATCTTCTGGGGTAGGTTTTTTTCTCTTCTGTTTCATGACTTTTTTTTTTAATCAGTTATGACAAAGTGATCCTCTGAGACTTCTTGTTTAAGGTTGCTTTGGTGGGGAAACAATAGACTGTTAACTGTTTTATATCTATAAAGATCTGTGGTGCACATACAATGAGGGGAAAAGGGGAAGGATTGTATTATAGGATAAAGACTAAGATACTCATTGCTGCTGCTGGAATTTCTCAAAGATGTCCAGGTAACTTGGTAGAAATCCCTTTGGTGTCCAGAATAGAATAATGCTCTTGAATTTCTTCTGAAAAACTCATTCTGTAAAGCAGTCTTACAAAATACAATTTACTTCATTTACCCTATTTCTTTCCCTACCCACTATGTGAATCCCAGGCTTAAAATATTAAAAGTGTCCAGATGTCAGATTAGTGTCAGATTTCCCATGTAACAGTTTAAAGGGGCTGAAGTATGCCGACAAGTAAGTACTCTGTTTCAGGTTGAAGATAATTACATCTACTGATATTATCATGGCTGAAAGTGAATTAGAGCTGAATATTAGATAAATGAAAATACCACTACCAAAGCTAATCCCTGATGCAGAAAATTCATTAGTTGTTGCTAGAGTAAACAGAAAGTGTAGTGTTAGCGTAAACTTTTAAAGCAGTTGTTATTATTATGTGGATATAGCTCTACCCTTGGATGAAAGGGCTTTACATGCTCTTTCTGCTGTCAAATTAGAGCTGAGAATTCATCTTTGCTTTGGCAAATTATGTTCCTAAAGCAATGCAGGGAGATTTTTCTTTAGTATACAGTGTTCCTGTTTGGGCTTGTTTAAACATTGGGAAATCAAAAATATTTATAATTCTTTTAGACAGCAATAGTATCATGATAATTATAACCTATGACTACTTGTACAAGTCTTCTCTAGGTATCTTTCCATGGCCACTTAGCTGTAAGTCTTTTAAAGATTTATTTGAAGTAAGAAGCTACTGATAGGAGATTCCTGAAGGGAAATTGCAGCTTTAATGGTAAAACTAATTTTGAAATTGCAAGGAAGGTGACCACAGCTGGCAAACTCACTATCAGTCTGAATTTCTCGAGGAAATTGAGATGTTGTGTAGTTCCGTGTATACTTGAAGACTTTAATGACAATTTCACATCTACATTGTTGATTTTTGTATGTCTGTTTTGTTTTACTAACCAGAGCAAAGGTCTGCTGGCTTATTTTGGAAACTTCCGTCTACTTGCAGAGTTCTCCACTCCTTTTGTCAATCAACGGTAAGTGGTTAGGGAATGTTTCCACAGTTCTTTTAAAATCTAATCTGCATTTATATTTCTGTCAGGAAGTTTTTTTGTAGTTTTTGAATGTCTACTGAAAGGGAATTTATATGTATTGAACTAAGGATTACTATATGGAAGTCTTTTTTGCTCTGAAGATGTTTTGCTGCTATAGCTGCAACACTATAACTGATGTATTCAAGCCATAGTTCCTTTTTAGATTAGACCAGACTTCATATGAAATGCCAAAATTTATGAAAATACCAAACAGAAAAGTTCACAAATGGGTGGGATAATGGAGCTCTCCAGAGGGTGCTTTCATTTACACCAGTGCAGTTGAGTAGGAGATTATAGTTTAATGTAGCCTGTGCTATGTGTGTGCAGAGAAACTAAAGAGTAAATAAACACTTCTTAAAACTTAAAAGGGTGATACTATATTCTAGGTTTTACATTGATATTCATGTTCTAGGGAATGGCTGTTCTCTCAGCTGACTTCTACCAGGACAGAAATTCATCCTGGGTTTCAGTGGGTACCTGTACTGATGCTTACCTTTCAGACTGTGGCATTAGGAAGCATCATGATACATCTGGCTATTAAAAGTAATTTATGTTACACTTTAAAAATGCCTGTGGTGAGATCATGAGTCTTTGAATACTGACATTCAGGCCTTTCTCAGAATAGCAGAAATCACTGCAGGAGATAAAGTCCCTTGCACTAAGGGCTGTCATCTCATTAGTGCATGATTTTTTTCCCCCATTAAATTTGAAGAGAATCAGACCCTTAAGACAGTAAGTAGCAGATAATGATAATGACTTACATTATGTTTCTTGTTTGCATTCTTAGTATTACCAAAAGAGCTATTATTAAAATATAAAAAGATATTCTAATCTCAGAACTGTCTGTGTATTTCCTGTCTGTGTTGTTAGGGATCTGTAATTTCAGATCTTGTCTCTCTGCCAAACATTTAGATATTTTAGTGTTATTATCAGTATTTATATAATTAATTCTGAACTGTGATGGGTAAAATTGTAATGGTAACTGTGATTTACAGACTTCTATTTTTTTTTTAAATTTACTGGGAGAGGGAAGTTGCTAAGCCAATGTCCAGTTACCTATTGGCACATTGCAGTATATTTGAAACCCACTTCTATATTACTTTTTGATTCTGCATTGTACGTACCATTGAAAGTACAGGCTTTGATTGTTAGTCTGACCAAACATATTAGGTCTTTCTCTTCATCATCCCAGTAGGTGTTCTGTGGTGAAGCATCCTGCTTCCAGGCTAGACTGGCACCTCGAGTGCCTGGATTTTAATTGTCCTAGTTGCATGCTTAATGAATTTCTGGAGTATTTCTATTAGAGCTGGATGTCTGGCAAATCTTTTTAGTATATCTATAATTACTTAGGTTGCAATCTGTAGGTAATTAAATTAAAAATTACTTTTAAAATCAGTTTTAGAACTGTGGGGGTTTTTTTTGTTAAATACTTTTAGCCTTGTATTTTATTGGAAATTAGTTAATTAATTAATTAATTGGAAATTAAATAAACTGATTATTTCATTCCTTTCCCCATCATGAATACAGTGATTTAAATTATTTTCCTCTGGTCCTGTCTGCCATTGCTGCACGAATTTTACATATGTTTATTCTGGTTTAAGTATGAGTGGCAAAGAATTAGGAGTTTATTATTCCTTTTTCTAGGCATTCAGTCTTCAGGCTCTGTATGCCAGGCAATAGATAAGTTATGCCTGTCTACTGAGGAATTAATATGCAAGAATTCTTGTTTAAAGACCACTTGTGACCCAGTGGTAGATGGAGAGGCAGTTTATTTAGAGTTATCTTGTTCATTGCATCACATTCCAAGCTGAGACTTGGTTGAGAGCCATTTACAATGTCTGTTTTTGAAGTTCCAGTTTTGGTCTGAAGAGCAGCAGTCAGAAAATACAATTATGATAAATTAGAGCTCTATCTAGATTACCATACCCAAAGACAATTCTAGAATTGCTTTCAGAGAAGCAAAGAGGATTTTAGTTGCCCATTGGTACAAATTGTAATAGTAAGTAATAAATTTATCTTCATCATTTTAAAAGATAATTTTATTATTGTTTATTACACAATAGTCACTGAAATGCACACTGGTTGTCAACTGGTTTACAATTCACATTAGGATTTTCTATGTGTTATTCTGCAATGTACAGGCTATGACACACTGCTTAAGTGGCAGAGAGAAAGTGCAGCCAAGCAGAAGAATTTGCAGCTGAGCCAAGACACAGTGCAATAATTTTGAAATTAGAAGGGGTAGAAGCAATTAATAAATTATTAATTAAAAATAACCATGAAGTTAAATAATTTTTAAATGAGATGGCTTCAAGTCTGCCTGATATCTGTGAACACTTCTTTTGCAGGTGGTTTTTTGAAGTACTGGGATATCCCAAATCTTCAAAGGCCAACATCATGAATGGTGTGCTGATGACAGTTGTGTTCTTCGTGGTGAGGATTGCCGTCATGCCTATATATTACAGCCACGTAATTGCTTCGTTTGGAACAGAAGCTTTCCACAGATTAGGATTTGCAGCCCAGAGCGCCTGGATTATCTCAAGTGTTGTCTTGGATATTATGAACGTGATGTGGATGGTCAAAATTGCGAAAGGATGCTACAAAGTCATTTGTCTTATTGGACGGGAGGAAGCCAAAACTCACAGAAATGGAAAATCTGCCTAGAAATCATACATAAAATGAAATTTCTGCTATGAAAATAATTTGGGTTCACTGAAACAGTGCACATTTCTGCCATGGAATGCTCCTATTGAGGAAACAAGGTATTACCTCTGTACTGACCTTACTCCTTCCCTAGCCACACTGCCTGCACACCCAGGGCCACGCTTTTTGGATCCCGTCCCGTGAGGAATAAAAGCAAAAGCTCACACAGATGAGTTCCACGTGTCTGTTCTAAGCAGTTACAAGCTACAGAAATTAGAAAGGAGTAGACTGGTTACTTGCTTGTCGTCCACCAGTGTGTTCGAAATGTTTCACTCAGGTTTCTCAGATTAATGTGTTTTATAAATCCAGTGAATACTGACATATCTCTTTTTTTAGAAAATGAAAAATCCCCCAAGCTCCTGATATGGTGCAATTTTCCAGTCACGTTTCTATGTTTTCTTCTAGGAATAACAATCAAGATTCTTGACAACTTTTTAATTTTTGCAAGAAAAGCTAAAAGTTTGGCTTTGATTCTGTGAAGTCTTTTACTGCTTTTTGTTCTGTCTTATACGAATGCAAACCATTTTGGGAAATTTATGAAATAATTTTATCTAAAATGCTGTATTATAAGACTACATAATATCTTAAAAATTGTTAAAATTCACATTTTGATGGGAAGGATTCACACTTGCTGTGCTAGATTAGATGCAATAGTACATCTTCTAGGTTGCCCATGGAATTTTTTTTGTCAATTAATATGGTAAGGGATGTGTGGAAACAACGTAATTTTTACTGGAGTGCTTTTTCCTTTGCTGCTACTACCTTTGAGAAGTGCTGCAACTCTCCTTGGAGTATTTTTAACCATTGGCTATTTGGATTCAAAGTTTAATTGCAAAGGGATAGAATTCTTCTGTATACATGATGTATAACTTCCGGTAATGGTTTTTTTTCTTTTCTCACAGAAATGGCATATTTGATATGAAGTCTTGAGGTTTTTTGTCACATTTTCCATGTAAATCCAGTCAGAAGTCCAAAGTGTTGACTAAAAACATTATTGAATTAACTGTGCCAAACTTCTGTAAAGCTGTACAGTAATTCTGTAGAAGGAACAGTTCACCTCCGTAGACACAAAATTTTATTTTTTTTTTAACCACGCATTTGTCAATAGGTACTCAGTTCCTCCTTCTCTGAACTTGAAGGTTTGGAGGTCACCAGAGAGGAACCTTATCATCTAGAAATAGTCTTAAATCCAACTTACAATACAATTTGAGAAAATTCTGAGTTTTGTTTTATTTTAAAATGATTTTGAGAGCTATATTTGTCTGTAAATTGGTTTTGTTTTGCTTACTTTTAACCATATTGGAATTGGGACTGATTAACTTCTAATTTTTTTCCTTGGTGTAGTTTTGCTTTGTTTTGTGTTTTTGTTTGTTTGGTTGGTTTTTTTCACATTACTTGTTATTTCTTGTAACTTCTGGTAAGGTCTAAAAGTATCCATTTTCCCAGAGACTTTAGTGTACATCCCAATTATTGTGGCAGTCTGTTTATTTCTAAAGAAAAAGATAAAGCATTTACCCTGTGTAGGATGATAAGTCCTGTTCCCTCTGACAAAGCTGGATGATGTGAGCTCTCCCCTCTGCCGTCAGAGGTGTGAGTGCCCTGTGCTGTGCTGTGCGCTCTGCTGAGGGACTCGGCATTCCTGTCTTCCAGGAGTCAGATGTCTGTAAGACCCCAGGAGGACTGCGCAGGCTGAAATGCCTTATAGTCAAAGCAGCTGTGCAGTGACTTTAGTACCCTAGTTAAAATGCTGTCAGGGAGTATTGTTTGGACAAGTGTAACACACGCTTTTAAAAGCCTAATTTCACTGTTTAGCTGGGCAGGTTTTTTTCTAAAATCGTTTCCCAATCCTGCCTTGTTAGCAGAGAAAGCAAGGATTGTTAGTACTTCTGGTTTTTGGATTCTATGGTTATTAATACTTCACAAGCCTACAGACAAAAGATCTGTTTATGCCTTGGGAGAGTTGGCAATTAATCTGCTGAGCTGTATGATTTGTGTGAGCGCAGTACCTCATTTGGGCACCGCTAAATCCATAGTCTTTGAGAGTTGATCCTTTGCAGAAAGAAACCGACTCCCTTTTATGCTGATTTGCAGAACCTGGTATCTTTTAAAATGTGATTTCAGTCAATCTAATGCAAAATCTAGGCTTCGTAAAAAGGCTCTGTGTTTCTATCACCTTTATGATTTAAAGGTGTATATGAAGTACTTTTTTCTTGTGCTTTTAACATCCTTAGATCAGGGAATCGTTTTGTAGTAGCTTGTTCCTTTCTAAAATAAGTTGAGTAAATTGAAACATTTTGGAGAATATGTTTGAAAGCAGAAGTCTGCTTTTGTTATTTTGTTATTTGGGAAGTAGGATGAAAAAAATCGATAAGATGATTTGGAGCAACTTTTAAGGTGATAACGCATGAAAACATTCTGAAATTCATAATTTAGCATTAATCTTTAATATTTCAGTATTTTAAATATTTTGTTCTTTGTAGAGACCATTCATTAAAATGGTCTATTTCTTCCATTTATAGATAGACTTGTGTCTGATGGGGGGGCGGGGGGGGCAAAGTAAGTCAAGCTAAAATAAAATTAATGTTAAAACTTGATTTAAAAGAAAAAAAAAATCCCAAAATTGGCATAATACACTTTGGGCAACAATCTGGAATTGAAGGGCAGTGGAATAATTCTTTTTAAAAACAGCTAGTACTTTGCATTGCTGTACAAATTTAGTGTAATTAAAACTCTATTTTACAATACATTAGGTTTAAATTTTCTAGTTTTTTTAAACAATATTACAGTTATGTCCTGATGTGTCCACTGTGCATCAGAAGACAATTTTCTTTGAAAAAAACTATTAAGACCTGTGATTTTGGCAAGGACTTTAGTAAACAGGCTGCAAAGTTGTGATGTACTGAATACAGTAGTACCGGGCACTTTTTGCCTACTATTAAAAGCTCATAATACAGCAAATTAGATAGCTGTGGCACCCATTATTTTAATTGCACTTTATTAATTTGAAAAATGTGGTGAAATATTGATGAAATTCAATGTTGCAAGCTTGTGTCTTCCTTATGCAAGAGAAGTAAATGCATGATAAGTAGCATTGTAACAATTGCTTTTGAATGTAATATCTTATTAGTGGCTTAAAACTTATATTTTTAACAGATGCATTATAAAAGCAGACTCTTGGCATGTCACCAGGTGTCTTTGCTGTGGACATATCAAATGGAAGGACTTAATCTTGTAAAAATGTTTACCTCTCTTAATTTTTTTTTCCTTTTCCGTTCTTCAGTACGAGGTGACATAAAATCAGCTTGATGATCATGGGAGAGACTATTTCTAGTGGTAAGGCTGTATGTGGGAATGCGAGTTTCCCTTTTTTATGACATTACATTTTCATCAAATGGTTAGTAAATACCACTTTCAGAAATGCTACGGGGAATGGTAGGTCAAGTTTCTGTTTTTGTAGTTGATTTGTGGAATCAGTACTTGCAGAAAGGAAATACACTTCAAATACTCATTTTCTCAATGAGTGTTTCAGTGGATTTCAGTGAAGTCGAGAGCCTCACACTACAGAGATGCTTTATGGTTATCTGAGCGAATTCTTCAGTGGTAAGAATTACATCCCTGAAGCCTACTCTACCTCTATACATACATACTATCTTGAGTGAGCTCAATAACTTAATTGCTTACAAAATAGAATCTGTTGAGTAATGAAATATATCCTATGCACAGGAAAATGAGGGTAGCTGACTTCATATACTAATTCTTAAGAATTCCAAATTTTATACTAAAGTTTATTAAAAATTAGTTACGGTATCTGGAAGAGAATTACTTCCATCTTTACTTAAAATATTGTGGGAGAAAATTACTTGTACTGCAGAACAAACATTAGCCTAAAAGTAAAAGCTTACACAAGCGAGCAAATGCATTTAGGCAGGTTTAAAGAGGAGAGCTGGAGGAGACTGAGAACACACATAGAGATCCAGATGTCTTCCTACTGCTGTGGTTGGGTCAACAGCAGACTGATACGTAGCAGGAAGGTTTAGGTGTTTCTGTATCTCTGTTCGCAGAGGAAAATGAAACTTTATTCTTTAAAATTTTCAGGCTGTATAAAATGGGGTATCTGTTGTTGATTACTGTATAGAGAGGACTTTTCTCATGGCTTTGTGTGTGTTTAAGCATATGTATATACAAGTTTTCTGTAAAAGGCCACTTAATAGAGAAGTTTGTAAAATTGTTTTGTGATGCTTCTGCTGAGCCATTCAAAGAAAAATAAAGGGCTGCTTGACAATTTCTCCAGTTTAGGGTCTGGTGCAGTGTTGGCTGCTGGGGAAAGCCATCGATAAAGCAAATAGAAAGGGACTAGAATTTTCAGATTACAAAGTGCAAGTGTAGAAGACTTTGAAAAGTATCACAGCCCCCTTTCATATTTTTAATAACCTACTGTACAACGTTATCTGGCTACAAGGAACTTCACGAGGGAAGGTTTGTTCCTGGTTGAATTTCTCTATCTAGGGAATACAGCTGGAAAAAGAACAGTACTTAATTGCTGGGATTCTGACAGCAGTCAAATGGAAATAATAATAATATTTATGAACTTTTAACATTCATCTAAACCTGGATAAAATTTCTGTTGGACAGGTGAAGGTCTTAGGATTTTCTGAGCAATTTGAAAGTTCTTTTTATGGCAGAGAAGATGAAAGCGGTGCTGCTTGGGTTGTTTAGAGATCTGGGATTATGCATCAAATCATACTTTTAGGTAAAAACACTTGGTAAGGGTTCTTACCCATTAAAAATTTCTACTAGCTACCTCCTTTGACATTCTTGCTCTATTTATAATAACCAAGCACTTTATAGCTCAGTAAAGAATGAATGGAAGGTAGCTAGGAGAAATAAATTGTATCATTTGGTATAAGAAATATTTTGGCAAAGTTTCTTCTGAGAACAGTTTCATTGTCTGATGTCCTGCACTGAGGCCATCCGTTTATAACAAAGTACGTACATTTTTAACCTAGTTGTAATATAAAAGAAATGTCTCTAAAAGAGTGAATTATGAAGAGTTCAGCATGGCTTGTTATCAACCATAATGATTCAGTGTGCTATTTATAACTTCCTACTTACTGAAGTTGAAAATATAAAAGCAAATAAAATATTCTGTATTGTATCTTTATTTTTAATCTATGTGTGGGATGTCAAACTTCGTACTTGTCTTGTGGACAGGACATGCTTTTATGAGCCTATAAATATTTAAGTATATGAGAATCTGCACCCAAGTGGAACATGTTGCATGTAAATTGTCTTCTAAGTTTTTAAATTTTGGTATTTTTAAAAATTTGCTAAGTTTGAAAGCAACACTTAAATATTAATACTAAGCTGTAATACAGAACACAACATTTTGAATGCAATGTGGCATATATTGGTTTTGTTTATTGTAATCCTATTCCAGTTTCACAAGAGAAATCCATCAAATAGTGGGGGAAGGGAGGAAAAGGGCTAATCATGAGCTTGGCTATATAATTTGCACATTTAATATGCACACATCAAAATATCCTGGATTTGTTTCTAGCATGCATATGTCAAATGGTGTTTTCTTTAATATTGACAGATACCTGTACATGTAGAATAATTTAACCTGTAAGCACAGCTAACCTGTTATAAAATCAAATTACAAAACCTGTTGGGAACAAATGAGTTACAAGTTAAGCATAAGTAACGGAGCCTATAATTCAAAAATATTTATACCTTCTATCTAAGAAGAAACTTGATAAATATATCTAACTTATGTGCAGAGCAAGGATGAAAACTGTAGATTCTGCTAGACTGATTTCTGGTAAATCCTGACAATCTGATTTGCAGTAAATACTAATACTATCACAAAATATCAGGACTACATTATTGAATTCAACTAGTAATGTGACCTGATTGTACTAGCAATCCTTATCATGGCACAAGAACTTGAAAATGCAATATAACAATTCTGCAGATTGGTGATAAATGTAATCAGTCATAGTAAGGCAAATGATTAAGTATTGTGGGTTTAAATTTACTTTTTATTACAAGAAAGAATCTGAATTATTTGTTTGCATTTCAGTGATACTGTAAGGCATTTCTATATTTGTTTGAACAGTTTAGGAGCTTGCATAAAATGATATTGGCTGATTTTTTTTCCCTTTGATATATGCAATAATGTCAATAAGCAATAAATTGCATGTTGTATGCAAGGTATTGGTACTTCATAATAAAGGAAAGGAACACAGTTTCTTATTTTGTGAATTTTTCTTTCTTATATGGCAATAGCTTATGTACCTACAATGAATGCATCATGAAAGAACAATTTTCTTTGGGTTCAGTTCCATAACAACTGGCTTATATGGTATCTTGAGATTTCATACTGTATCTTCTTTATTTAAAAAAGGTGGAGATGGGAGTTGCTCAGGTGGCTGGACTTTTCAAGGCCGAAATTCTATGTAGAACATCACTGGGGCCAGGAATTTATACTATAAATTCTCTTGTGTATTGGGGAATAACTTCTATGTTGGATAGTATAATTATATTGCACTGTCTTATAATACTGCATGTTTCAGGACATAAGCTGTGCAGCTGTCTGAAGGTTCCAGGGAAAAAGAGCTGCTGTTTGCAGTGTATTATAAATACGATGTGCTACACAGTCCCTTACTGAATACTAAGATGGGCAACTAAGTTCCTAAATATGGCAATTCCTAGATTCTGTATGTGCAGTGAATGTATGCCTAGGAAGCATGTGTGGTAAAACTCAGAGGTTTCTCTGAGCATCCTCACAGAAAGTTGCTGCTGTTTTATGTCTTAACCGCTGGCTTCCAAGCACAAGAATTACTCATGTTACTGTGGGTTTTCTTTTGTGTTATGCAATGGTTAAATTACTAAAAGAAATCACAAAGCAGTGAGGTGTTTTTTCCTTTTTTTTCCCCCTCTCATCTTTTGAGAGGTATTTAGTTGCATATGTAGATTATTCTTAGGGTACTAATTTTACACTGTTAGCATAGAAAATTACTCATTAACTAGTTGGTCTGTTTGGAAGTGAGTTTTAATGCCTGGGAACAGATATTCTTTGGGGTCAGATGCTATATAGGTCAGATTTCCAACTGCTTGAGGAAAGACAATGGGGGCTTGGTAGGAGGCTTTTGTATTGGCACTGGGCAGCTTTTAACACTGAATGGTGGAGAGGAAGGACTGAGCGGTGGCTGGGAACCGGGGATGCCTTTCAGTGAGCCCTTCTTAACCTGATACATTCAACAAGTCTTGTTTAAAGTGTGAGAAACATTATACCGCCTTAAGATGTAGGATATAGAAAGTATTTTGTATATCACTTCTTTGTCATACTCCGATGCAAAGTTGCTCTTTATTTCCTCCCAAATTTTTTTTATTACTCTCTGTGTTCTTGCTAAAAACTTTATTTTCTCTCCTCATATTGGTGTGATAACTCTGCACTAAGATTTTTAAAATTTTTTATTTAATTTTCACAATGGACATCTCATTTTTTGGAGATGGACTACTGTTTTATCTTTTGCTCTGCTTTTGTGGAGTTCACAGTGCAGTATACCTAAGGGTAGATTGTGTGCTTTGTTGATATTGTGACCTTGGTGTTCTTTGTAATGCTTTACATAGAGTAAAAAGTATTTGCTACTTGGCTTATCTTACAGAGGGGGAAAACTATTATCTATACAATGACTAATAATGCAGTTGTTGCTTCTGGTGGAGTGTGATGGTGAAAAGCAGGGAGACGGCACATCGACATCAACAGCATTATGTACTTTGAGAAGAGAGAGTAGAACCAATTCCCTGTTTGAGAACATCAGAGAGAGAAAATCTGGTTTACCTTAGAGTCCTTCTGCCACTGACTTGAAATATTTAGAAGCAGAGATGTTAGTTGGTCTATGGGAGGATCTTATTAAACTGTATTGTTAAGTGAAGACAGGCTAAGAGACTTGCGGTTGTTCAGCCTGGAGAAGAGAAGGCTCTCTTAGACACCTTAGAGCCCCTTCCAGCACCTAAGGGGGCTACAAGAGAGCTGGAGAGGGACTTTTTACAAGGACATGTAGTGATAGGACAAGGGGGAATGGCTTGAAAGTGAATGAGGGCAGGTTTAGATTGGATACTAGGAAGAAATTCTTCACTATGAGGGTGGTGAGGCCCTGGAACAGGTTGCCCAGAGAAGCTGTGGATGGCCCTGTCGAAGGCCAGGTTGGAGAGTGGTTTGAGCAGCCTGGTGTAGGGGAAGGTGTCTCTGCCCCTAGCAGGGGACGTAAGCTTCAAGGTTTCTTCCAACCCAAACTGTTCTGTGATTCTGTAAGTGCAGCCAGTGAAGATTTAAAATTATTCTACAGCTTATCCAGCTGTTACTGTGAATGTGGTCTTAGAGACTGCAGCGAAGCCTAAATTGGGAAATGATGGAGGCAATCAGAATGTTTTCTAAGGCATATAATACTCAATTACTGCCATGATGCCTCTTTTTTCTATCTTGAGGTTCTCCATATGCTGTGCTAATAATTCCTGCATGCAGAAAGGGTAGAAAGCAATTTCCTCCTAAGTAATCGAGACTATAAAAGGGCAAAAAATGACTAAAAGGATGAATATTTGATATTGCTTTATCCTTGTATTTTTATTTCATGTTCACACTGAATGGCAATGTCCTTGTTAATAAGAAAGATCCTATTTTGAAAGACAGTATGTGAACATGATCTTAACAGCACTCTTGAGAAGAATGTATAAAAGAAGTTTTTTAATTCAGGTAGTAAAATGGTTTGAAGTAGTGCTGCTTAGAACTGCTTCAGTGTGGTTTAGAATTTGTCTATCAATCCTTCTGATCTTTTTCAAAAGAAATGGCAGAGAACCACTCATTTCTGTCTCTACATGCAGAGTGTGTAAGTGACCTCTCTTCCAGATTTGAATTTGGATTTTTTTCATTCTAAGTTACTGTAATAACTGTGCCACTTGAAGATTAAATTCCTTTCTACTTTAATTGTTAAAATGAAATAGAATATTTGGGGAAACAATATTTTTCTAATCAGTTCTAATTGTTGCATGTTTATAATGAATGTTTCTCATCTCCCCACCTGCTTTTTGCACCTGACAGCCTCTTTAGAGTTCATGCTGTGAGATGAACATTGAAATAGTCCTGCGGGATCTCTGCCCACTGTTACAGTATAGCAAGGTGTTATCACCTGTTAGCCAAAAGGGATGGGATGAAGGTAAGTCTTCCTTGGTCTGATGCACTATGAGCTTCATCGTTTGTGTGTTATGCACGGAATTTCATGTATGTAGTTAAACTGCATCTTCTGGCTTGAAATAAGGCAATATTCTTGGGAACTTTACTATGTCCATATCTCTAATACTAGAAAGGATACACCTATACAGTATCGGTATGTGCTGCTACTACATTCAGTGGTACTAGCGGTAGTAACTTGCAGTTGTAAGAGATGATTTCACAGCACGAGGTAAGAGCACATACAACTCGCGGAACGCCGCTGCACGGGGATTAACGCGAGTCCCGGTTCGCGGAGTTCGCTGTCGTCGGCAAGGTCAGAACCAGCCTTCGTGCACCTCGGCGTGGCACGGCCGGGCCCAGCGGCCGCGGGCTCCCCTGCGCCCTCTCCGGGCGGCAATGCCTTGGCATCTGCGCGCTGAACGGGGGACAAGCCTCGCTGAGAACGCCCGGCGGCGCCGGCCCCACTCCCTGAGCCGCGGCGGAGCGACGGCCGCGGCCCGGGCCCGCCCGCTCCGTGCCCGGGCCCGCCCCTCCCCGGGCCGCCCTCCGTGCCCGGGCCCGCCCCTCCGTGCCGGGCCCGCCCCTCTCCCCGTCCGTGCCCGGGCCCGCCCCCTCCGTGCCGGGCCCGCCCCTCCGTGCCCCCCGCCCGTGCCCGGCCCGCCCTCCGTCCCCGGTGCCCGGGCCCCCCTCCGTGCCCGGGCCCGCCCCTTGCGGCCCGCCCTTCGGCGGCGGCGGCGGGGGCCCCGCGCAGGCGTGGAGTGGGTGTCCGTTCTCGCGAGCGCTGGGGCCGGCGCGGAGGCGCGGGCCGGGCTGTGCCGGCAGGGCTGAGGTGAGGAGGAGAAGGAGCTGAGGAGGATGAGGATGAGGATGCGGCGATGGTGGAGGCGGCGGCAGCTCTGGGGGCCGCGGCGGCGGAGGCGGGCGCTGGCGGCGGGCCCGCGCTGCGGGCGGGCCAGCGCTGCGGGCGGGCCGACCTGACCTTGGGGGTCGGTCACGGAGTGTGGCGGGTTACGGGAGGCGCGGCTGCCCCGCACGGGCGTGTGACACGGGCAGAGCCCCCCACGCCAGTGGCCGCGAGGAAGGACTTGGGAGGGAGCTAGAGGTCGGCCCTGGTAGACCCTTGGGGTTTTATTTGGGCTGGAAGGTTGTTACTTAAACCGATTTCGTAATTAATTTTTTAATTTGTGATACAGCACTGTATCTGCGCTTGCGTTCCCCCTTATAAATAAGGTGTGCTTTTGTATTAGGAGTGTTTACTTCTTTTTTCTTTAGGAATTTGATGTAAGAAGGCCCGGTGTGTGGGAGCCATGGGTTTGTCTGCATCCTCCCCGGCTGCTGCAGGTCAGTCGCCAGATGCATCCAGGCAGTACCAGACGGTGTCTCCACCTTCAGAATGTCCCATGCATCAGGAAAAAATGAGCGGTAATCATTCTTGAAACTTAAATGAACTAAACTCCTTATGTGGAAACCAGATGAAAAATCTTAGGGAGGAAAAAGAAATTATCCTTCAAATAAAAACTTGAGTTTTTCTTTTAGGAAAAGTTGCTCTTAAGTAACTTTTCATGAATAGGAGGCAGTTGTTCACCAGAACAGGTACTGTGTCTGTAGAGACAGGAGGTGGTTGTTGTAGAACCTGTGGGTCATTCCCAATTGTCCCATTTCACAGGAGTCCTGCAGATCTTTTCCTGTGGTGTGGTACACCCACAAAGGGTTAGGGAGCCCCTGCAGAAATGGCAACTGGGAGCAGGTGGATGTCACTAAAAAACATGCATCTAGAAAAGGGTAGCGGAGAGGTGGAATCAGATGAATGTCTGGAGGAGGACATTTGCTTTTCTGGTGACACAGTCAACACATTTTGGATTAACATTGCTGAGGAAATCTTAGGTACTGACAATTCAGTATAGGGGCCAGCATAGGGTAGGAAATGAGCATTCAAGGACATACAGGAAGCTCAGATCTTACCATGGTGTTGGGTCCTAAAATGCAGGAAAGAGAAAAGTTAAAACTGTTGCAAAGCTCAGAAGAAAAAGTGAAATAGCCGCTTGCATTTACTTGAGCATTCAATGAACTGTCCCATTTCGTGTCATGTCTTAAGAGTTTTCATTTTGTATCAAAATACATACTATTTTTCCTGTGTTTAAGGTTGTCCAATGCACATGAAAACTGCTGATCACAGAACTGAGAACACAGATGATGTTCCTGCACATCAAGAAAGAGCTTATGAGTTTGTAGCATGTCCTATGAAGTCTGGTTCATCTCAAGTGAAAGATGACATAGATCCTAGCAATATGGTAATTTTTGCTTATTTCAGATGTTTTCTTTAGTCTTGTTTTTTCTGAAATAATGTACCACAGATGTAAATAGTGATACTGTCTAAGGTGGAAAGTCTGGCAAATAGCACTATTTTTTCTTATTTTAAATGCTGCTTTTTCTCTTTTCGTGTGCAAATTTTTATATAAAAACAAGTTACATCTTGTTTAACATTGTCTTCAAATTTACACCTCTTTGATAAAAGGTGGTTTTCCAGTTTGTAAATACCTTTTACTCTCTATGAGTTACATGCATGTTTTTATGCTACGTTGGTAGATTTTAGGTTCTGTTTAATAGCAGTATGGGTAAGTTCTGATTAGTATCTCTCCAAGATTTCCTCTGATTTACAAAAAGCATTGCTCTTTTGGAAGTTAAAGTTTAGGCAAAAAGGGTTTCTTTAGTCTTCCAATGACAAACCTGTGCAAACAGTTTTACTGCAAAAAAGATAATTTTGATGGAATTAAATAAAGGCTGAATGTCTTGATCTTTTTAAGAGCTGATTGATCATACTTTGATTTTTCTCAAACACTGTAACATAAAAAAATATTCATACTCTAGTTTGTTGTTGATTCTTCTTGTTTTCTAGATGCCTCCTCCTAATCAGCAGCCATCCCCAGGTCAACCATTTCCGTTGTCAACTGTTAGAGAAGAATCTTCTATTCCTAGAGCACATTCTGACAAGAAATGGGTCTACCCTTCAGAGCAAATGTTCTGGAATGCTATGCTAAGAAAAGGGTAAATAAATACACTGTGAATTATAAGATGGAGTCTGTGAGCCTGAAATTCATTAAGTAATATCATTAGTTATTATTTATTATTTTTGAAGAGTTTGTGGATTCTAACTAGCTCTTTTTGAAAAGTACTATTTTATAAATATGTTTGTTTTAAAGGGTGAGCTGGTCTCAAAGGCCATGTCCCTTCTAGTGATCAGGAGGATGTTAGGGAATGTCAAGCAGCTGCTACTGGCTCAGAAAATTTTCTTAAAAGTCTGTGGATAGGCATAAACCAAGTTTGCAAGATTTGCAACTTTCAAACTCAGCTGGCTTCACGCTAGGCCTATATACTGATAGTAGAAGTTCTATGATTGTGAGAACAACTAACTTGACTTTGCAGAATTGCTAAAAATGTGGAAATTTACTAGTAGGTATTTTCAGTATTTAAAGAAATTTAGTGTAGGCAAGACCTAATTTAATGATTAATATCTCCTGTGACCTAAAAAACCTCCTGTGCTACTGTTCCCTTATTCTTTTGTATAGTCACAGTGCAGGGTCAAGAGAGATGAAAGGCATTTCTAAGCATACTAAGTGTATGGAATACAGGACTTCTGTGCATTAGGAATGCAAGTGGGATTTTTCCTAAGCATTTTTATGAATCCTATGGATGTGCTGATGTTTGAACACTGATAACTTCCTGATCCAGTTAAGCTTTTAATTTAGCTATGTAGAATTTGTGGATCTCTGTGATGATAACTTTTGATAACTTTTGATAACACACATTTCTGCACAGAAGATGAAGTGATTGTCATGATGCTTAGACAGATGAGCCAGAAGTTTAAATACTTGTCTTGTGTCTTTGCATAAAACCTTAAATTTTGATTCCAAAGTCCATCAGATAAACTGAGGAAGGTGCAGTAGTTATGCTGTAATGCTTATAAACTGTTTTCAAGTTCTTATTTTTTAGGTGGAGATGGAAAGATGATGACATAACAAGTGAAGACATGACCAACATCATTAAGATTCACAACCAAAATAATGAACAAGCTTGGAAGGAGATTTTGAAGTGGGAAGCTCTTCATGCTGCGTATGTACATATGAAATGTTACACATGAAATATTTTTCATTGTGTTATGACAAAGATATGAGACATAAACTTAGATTAGCAGTGACTGGTGTAAAGCAAACTATCAGTTTTTAGATCAGCATAGCCCCTGTTCCTGCAATTTTATGATCTTTGGATTATGGTTTTCTGTTCTTTAATCTATTAAATCTGTGGATTAGATTTGCTGAGAACTGCTCTCTTGACAAATTAGAACAATGGTATGGAGCATATCAGAGGTACTTTATTATACCAGCAGAAAGTGCTGGCAGAAACCGGGCGACTTTTCAGACCTTTAAAGAAAAAAAAAAAGGTGTTTTAGATCACTTGGAGTTACTTTTTTTACTCTTGCTCTTTCTTCTATTCAGTTTCTCTTTTACTAAAATAAATTACCATAGTGGTTTAATTACTTAAAATAAGACTGCTTTTAAAGGTAAAACCTACTTTCCTTTTTAATTGTGTGCACAGGGAGTGTCCGTGTGGACCATCACTGATGCGGTTTGGAGGCAAAGCAAAGGAGTATTCACCAAGAGCCAGAATACGTTCATGGATGGGGTATGTGGGCAGGAAAGGTCTTTCAGGGAGGTGGGAGGTTAGGGAAACGTGTCTGAAACTGTGGTGTAGAATTAATTGTAAGATGTTTCAGAACTGGCATTGGAAGTTAGAATTGCCAGAAGATAGAAGTACTAGTGGAATCTTACGGATAAATAAATCTTAAATAGGACTTCCACTCCCTCTCCCAGGTTCATACTATCTATTAAAATATCTACGTGTTCTACTATCCGTCTTTCCAGATATGAGCTACCCTTTGACAGACATGATTGGATTGTTGACCGGTGTGGAAAAGAAGTGCGCTACGTTATTGATTACTACGATGGCGGAGCAGTGGATAAGAACTACCAGTTCACCATCCTGGATGTGCGCCCTGCATTGGACTCTCTCTCGGCTGTGTGGGACAGAACAAAGGTAGCTTGGTGGCGCTGGACTTCATAACTGCTCCTGAGGTGTGTACTCAAAAAGTAACTACTTTCCTCCTAGGCAAAGGATAAGTGAATACCAGGACTTGAAATGGAAGTTCACTGCAGCTGTCATTGTTTTCATGATTACCACTGTTCTTAGGGGATGGGAAGGGAGGATGGGGAAATCTGTTGTTAAGCACACCAATGCTTTGTGGTGTTTCAAATGGAATAATAAAGTTATAGTAGCAAAAACATGTATCTTAATTTTCTTAAAAACTGGGGAACCTTTTTTACTTTGGCTCAGATTGTGCATAAGCTTGCCGCCTTTTCATTTCATGACTTCAGTGCTGCACCAAATACATTACAGTTCTGATTCTGACTGAAGTTTTGAGTATTACTTCATTAGTGAAAACTGGAAATTTCATAAATCATATAATTAAAGTGTTTGGATACCTCAATGATGAATAAAGGGTAAAAGATCTGGATTGTTTCAAACTGCATGTTTTATTAACAATATAAACTCATGTATTTGTTTTCACATGGGTACTTTACCTATTCAATTACATGCTTCTTCAGAAAATGTCAGTTGAGGTCATTCAGTTTAAAGAAAGTATAGTGTAGTATGAATATTTTAAAGATATGTTAAATTGAACAGGAGAATATACTCATGCCTTAATCTGCAATTTATCTTTGAACAGAAGAACATCTGTTAGAATCAGGAAATGAGTGTCACTTTTAAAGCATTTCTAAAAGTAGATAATATTTAATGGCTATTTATTTCAGTATTTAAAAGGTTTTTCTGATGTAAGAAAATATGTTATTTTAGTATTTTCATGTCTTTCACATGTGTCATGTAATGTATTCAATACAGATACAAGCCTTGTTTAAAGAACCTCATGCAGTGCATCTGTATTTGGCATCTTGGCTTCATCAGCTGTACCATAGCTTGTTTTTTTTTATATAAAGCAGAATCGCACAAGAGTGTATGACTACACAGTCACATGTGATTGATTATAGTGAGGCATATCACAGCTGTGTATGTAACTTGGCTAACAGGGTATCAAAAGTGCCAAGAAATAAGGTTGATTTGAATGTTTTCTTAGAGTGATGCGTGTTAATGCTGTGTGGCTTAAAGCTTTGATTAATGTTTGTGCTTAATAAGGGAAACTGTCTTTTTTTGTAAGTCTTGCACTGTAATAGCTTAAAATTTGCATGGCTCAGTAAGTTGGAAAGGAGTAAGAGCATATCACATTGTAGCTTCTCAAATGAGGGAAGCTGCCTTCACAAAGCTTCCCAGCCTTAACTGGGAAACAGCTGTACACTCATTTTCAAAGTCCTTATGTTTAACTGACATTGGAAGCTTTTTTCTTTTCTTTTTTTTTTCTTTTCTTTGTTTTTCTTTTTTTTTTCTTTTCTTTGTTTTTCTTTTTTTTTTCTTTTCCTTGAGGGGAAACTCCACAACTTCCTCTTTGGGAAAAAATTAGTCAGGGAAGCTTTCATACTTTAGAATTCTAAATGGCTCCCACTTCAGAGACAACTGTCATGCATGGTAGGAACAGATATTACCCAGAAGTCTGGAATCCTGAGAGGAAAACCACGCTCTTGCCATATCCGCTTTGCTCATTCCTTTTTCACCTTTCTAGTGGTTCATACATATATATATATATGTATAAATGATAAATAGGAAAAGAAAAAAATTCCATCTGAGTAGGCAGCGTGTGTACGAGGTATATGAGAAGTGTGTGACCTTTTATGAAGCATATCGGATAATGAAGGAACTGCTTCTGTGTTCTAGCAGTAAAGATTTAGGCTTACTGCTTTTTGGGGTGATTTTTTTCTTTTTGGGGTTTTTGTTTTTTTTATTGGTTTATGCATTTGGTAACTTGATATACTGAGGATTCTGTGTTTCTCGCAACTAGATATGGAAAGGGTACAACCACTGTAGGGGGCACTTCAGAAGCTTCAAAAGAATGAGTTTGCTTGGTTGGTTTTGGCAGTGTGATGTTGAGTGCGTTATGGAAATTTGTTATTGCTGCTAAATCTGGTGAAACCTGTCACATGTCACTTCATGTATTCACTGTGTCCTGTTATGTTCCATCTTCCATAGATTCAAAATTGTTCTTTTCTGTGCTACTGTTAATGAAATGTTCTACTTTGTCATCAAAGTAAAAGGAAATAAATATACTTTTCTTAACTTTGGTGATCATACTTTCAGCTATAAGAATTATTAAGATGAGCTTTTGCATGTGTCATATGAGATTATAGTCTGTTACAACTATGATCTTGTTATATATTTGATACATTTATTATATATTATTGTATTATTACTACAACTTAACTATCATTACATCTTTGAATATATACTACTCATTTTTTAGGTGACTACAGAACCAAAATCCAAGGACTAAATTCAAGTGTTTGTTACCAAACCAGCAGTTCTCAGAATAAGAGCATATGACAACAAATATATTCATCCCGAGTCTGGCTAATTTAAGAGGAATGCGAGGAAATTTAAAAAAAAAATCCTAGAAACGTCAATGAAAGTAATTAATTTCTATAATCAGTAAGACTTAAGGAAGTAAACGTGGAGTTTTTACTTTTAGGCGTGGGTTATTTGATGCAGGATGTTGGTAGTTTGCTGTTTTTCAGGAGATGGGTGTCATTTCAGAAGAATGATTAGAATTCCAATGTAAACTTGAAAAACAGTAATTTAAATTGATTTTTTTTTAAATCCTTAGGAAGGATGTTTTAACTGAAAAACTATTGTTTAGGCTATATTAAAGGAAGTATGTGAGTATGCATAAATAAATACATTTATATAATTTCTTTATAAGCATAGAAAGGTGTGGAGAGTTCATGGAGCTCAAGAAAGTGAAGAAGTATTCTGAGCAGGCCCTTTCAAGGAATTCTGCAGTGACATCAGGTTCCCAGTCCCAGTCAAACTGAAACAGAATTTTGGAAACATCTCAAACCAAGGTTAACCTTGTGCACATACATAAGGAAAAATGCAGACACTCACTAAAGATGGGTCACTTTTTAAATTAGTTTTGTGTTTAGATATCTGAAGTTTACCTATGTTCTGCTTTACTGTGTCAAAGCCCTGCTTGACCTATTTTGCTTGACTCTTGCAGATAAAACGAGTTAGGAGTGCCCTCCCGGTCTGCCACTGAAGATGTATGTGGTTCTTCAAGGATATTGGGGTGCTCAGAAACTGCAATCTCTGTGACTGATAGAAAAGGGCTCCAGCATAACACTCCAGCTGTAATCAGGTCTTGGGTCATCTATATGTGATCAAAAGTGATACTGATCTGTATCACCTGGAGCAGGAGACCATTCTGCATTCAGATACCCTGCAGTCAGGGTGTCTGGCCCAGTGCTGCCATTCTGTGGAGGCACTGACTGTGTGGTTGCTGTGCCTACAATACCCTCCCTACTCAGTGGTGTTGGCCCAACTCTTCTGCAGCTTGTCCTGTTGGTACCTGGCCAACATGAGCGCTCTGTAATTGGGGAGTAACTTAGAGGCTTAGCCTTCTGGCATGCCTGGAGTTCCTGGCTCTGAGTCATCCTGTAACATTTTGCCTTTGCAGTGTATTAGCAGGCAGTTTGGAAGGGGGAGCTGTAGCTCTGTCACCCTTCACTTATTTATTTTTTTCCCCTGCCCCCTAGAAACACCTTTGCTGCTCTCTTTCATATCATTCCAATGGTCTTAGCTGAAGTCTCAGAATTTTTTGGCTAAGCCCTAGAATTTCTGCCCTGCTTTGCTGTAAAAGAAAGAGACTGTTGCTGTACAAAGGTAGTTGTGTCCCTTCTTGATTACTGCTACTTTTTACTGCCAAAGCAAGGTGTTTTGAATTACTGTTTTTGAATTATGAGGTGAAAGAGGTATGCTAGTTTAGTGTGAAATGCTCTCTAGTGTTTACATAATGTATTTGCCATCAGGACTTTAATGTGCTCTGTAAATCTGAAGTCTAAAATGTGGTGATGAATACTGTTTTGCCTTCAAAAGGTGTGAGTGTGGCAAAGGATCTCTCAGTGCTCTCAAAATGGTCATAAATAGACTGTCATCTTATGCACTCCCATTTTTTTTTATTCCACTCCTGTATCAAAGTGTGGGGAAATAATAGCTAATGTGCCAAATTTCAAAGGATGGAGGCATGGATACTAATACTGCTGTAGCTCAGCAGCTAAAAATGAACTGGTAAACTAAGGAGTACTGCCTAATTTTTGAACTCTTACTAATGTTTGTTTTTTATAGAGTAGAAATGACTCTTTCAAAACCACCACTTTTTAGAAAGATCTGTTCCCAACACTTACTAAATTAAATGACACGTTTATTCTTTGTCTCCCTGTGCTTACACCTGGAGTAGAGTCCATGTAGTAAGGTTCCGCAAGCAGATGTGGAACTTGATGTGGAAGCTGAACTTTTTGAGGGTAGAATATACTACTCAGTGCTATCTGTGCTTATGTCTTCAGTGTCATAGCCTTCCCTACTCATAAGTTCTTACATATGTTTTTTTTTAAAAAATGCACAATATTGCTAGTTTTCTGCAAATTTTTAGTAGGCAACTTCATGCATTTTTACTCTCACTAAAAGAAAATATGTTCTATTTATTATTCTACCTTTGTACAAAGTAAATTACTGGCAAAGAACTTTATGGAGTGAATCAAATACGTATTGATTCTCTCATCAATGTTAGCATTAGGAACCCGTGGTCATACTAGAACATGTCATGTTGTAAAAAGCAACCTTTTTAGTTTATATTAGATGGCTAATCACTATTATGTGCATTTCCTTCAAGACGAAACGGCTTGCCAAACTCCTAGAGAAAGAATCTTAAATTCTTTTATGAATGTGACAGTTACATCTGTTTGGTCTTATGTACATCAAATTGCAGAGAAACTTCTGGGCAGAGTACCCTTCTTGACTCCAGACCTTATTGTGAGGCCTTGAGCATGCGCAAAGTGATGCATTATCTACCAGTGAGCCACTGATCCTGATGGCAGCTCCTCGCATCTGCATATTTGCAGCATGGGTTATATATTTTGTGACTGGAGTCTGAATGAATCCGGTTTTCAAAGGATAATGTAAATTTATTGGAAGTATTGGGATTGTTATTAGGGCTCATTAAAAAAATTTAAAAGATCATTTCCTTTGCCTATGACCAGTTTGGACCATGGCCTCTCGTGTAAAATAGAAGCCATGGATTTGTTTTCAACATATTATGAAAAAAAAAAAAGACTGAAGTCATGGGTTTTGTTTTCCAATGTTTTGCCAATTTTGTGGTAACTACAGAAAGTTTTAGCTATTTTGCTAACATACTGCTGCTCTTGCCTGCAGCTTCTGAAGACTGTGACCCCATAAACTTCCTGTCTGTAGAGACAGCTAATGCTTTAATTGATCATTAGTGCACTTTCAAAATGAGTTTCCATCTGCCAAAAGATTAAGTGTCTTGGGGAATTGACTTAAAACAGTTTGATGCATGGAGGATAAATGCAAGTGCCTTTAAAAAGCACTGCTAGATCACAAATCCTTGAAAAACTTACTTCTAAAGGAAAAGTAATAGAAAATATTTTTTTCTCTGATTTGTTTTTTCTCAAATTGGAGAAGGTCTTTTTTGTATATATCAATGAGAGTTCATTAACTCATTTTCAAAAACTGAAAAGCAAAAAACCTCATGAAAATGTTGAATTTAACCGTAGAACAAATCATTTAAATTTTGGTAGTTTTATTTTGCAACGTAGATTTTTTTGTTAAATGAGTTTATTCCAATAGTAAAAAACTACCTGCTTTGGGCCAAAAAAAAAACCCAAACAAAACCCAAACTTTTGCATGAGCTGCAGTTGAGAAAACTGGCGGGAAAACACCTCCATGATTTGTCATGTATTTTCACAATTACTGGGGTCGCTTCTGTTTTCTTCAAGCTTTTGCCTTTTAGCTTATTTGGAGAGAATTTACAGGTTTTCATGTTGGTTTCTCTCTGCCATTTTTGTACAAGCCACTTTTGGGAAAACTTCTACCATTGCAATAACAGTTATTACAGAAATGGTACCTTCTTTCTTACGTATCAGAAAAAACCGTGCTATTTAACTCAGGTAAGGACAGTTCTAGCTGGTAAGAATGCCATTCTGGCTACAGTAGAGCTGGCAAAGTTGTTGTAGCAGAAAATATGGGAACCGTAGTTGTCTTACAGCAGTGCCAGAGACGGATGTGGTTTGTGTTGTACTGGTTATCCACCACCTTTGTTGTGGTTATGAGTTCCTCATTAGTGTCTGTCTTGTGACCCCCAAAATGGGCAGCTGCAGTGATTTTCACACTCTTCCTACTGGTCCTCTAATGCCTTCTAGAGTACACACCTTTAGGACTGTGTGCAGTTGCGGTAGAGGAGAAGCCTGAGTGGCTGGCATGGAAAAGATGGTAAAAAGATAGAGATGGACATTTTTTCCCCAAATGTCTGTCTACTCCTCCCCTGATTCACCACTCAGGGGAAAACAAGTCTAAATGCATTGTTTTATATATAATCACTAGTGGTTGTCGAAGCAACACCTAATTGATTAAGGCTGTAATTGTAGTGAGTGGAAAGCAAAGGACACTACTTTTGCAAATAACACTGGGAAGATTTATCTTATGTATGTATGAAAGGTTGCATTCTGTTTGGCTTGTCAGGCAAAGTGGAAGATACTGGTGGCACAATCGTTTTATGACAGGATGTTGGAGCTGGTTTAATGTAGGCTGACTCTAAAAAGTGGAGCTTTACTTTTTTAACTTTGCCACATGCTGATAGGAAAGAATCCATTTAAAGAATATGGCTAATGCTATTCTATCGACACTGCAATGTTTGAAGAAATCATTAAAAAAAAGGGGAAATAAGATCTTGGCCTTCAATTTATTAATAATGGAATATGAAGGCCAGATTGTAACTGTAGAAGTTCATTTCGAATTTAAATATTTAGCATTTTCAGTTGTCTGTGAATACAAGAAAACTTATTACATTAAGATGGAATTTAGATCTTTGACATGAAGCTGATATTTTCATAGTGTGAAAAATATCAAGCTGACATTATACTGTCTTATTTGATGACTTCCAAATGTCAGAGTGCAGTAACTTATTCATAGGGACCTCCATGTCTTGTGATAGTGTCAATTTAAAAGACATTTACATCGACTTTTTTATTTAAACATGTAAAATGGAATATGCAAAGTATATTAAGAGAAGGGGGAAAGACCGGGGCGAGAAAGTTCTTAATAATATAATGAGGCACTTCTAAGGCTAATTTCCAGCACAGCCTTCTGACAGCGGCAGGGGCTGCACCCGGCAGTGCCGCTCCGTCACAGCATCCCCCTTCTTCCCGGCCCAGCGCTCTCGTCTTTCTTGTTATTTCAACTGAATTTAGGGACTTAGAAATAGCAGGGTATACTCTCCTGAAAAGTAACCCCCCTATTTAAAAGTGATTTTATAATAACGGAACATAGTGAACGTTTGAGATCATTATGCCTGGGAGCTAACGGTGCTGTCGGCTGTGCAAGACCTCGGTGTGATGGCTGGTAACGGGATTGTGAAGCTACAATGACTGAATACAAGAAGCCTAATTTTATATTCCAGTAACTCTTTGTGTATGGGTATGTGCGGCAGCGCACCGGCGGGCCGCCCAGGGCCCGAGGCCGACCGGGGATCGGAAGGTCGCACAGCGCTGCGCACGCGGGGCAGGGAGGGACGCAAGAGGGGGACAGGGAAGAAGGGCGAGACGCGCGCGGGGAGCCGCCATTTTGTTCGCGTCCCTGCGGCGGGCCGGGCCGACGGGCCGCCTGCGGCCGGTGTGCGGGCGCGCGACCGGCAGGGGCACCACGCCGCCCCCGGCGGCCATGTCGGAGCTGGCGCGCGAGGAGCTGTCGGCGCTCGCCGCCATCTACTGCGAGCCGGGCGGCTGCGAGCTGCTGGCGGCCTCAGGTGACGCGGCCGCGCCCTGTCCGCAGCGCGGACCCTCCCGCTGCCCCGGCGGCGGCCCGGCCCCGCTGCCCTGCGGGCGGCTCAGTCGCTCCTGTGTTGGCGCTCGGCGCCCGTCCCTGTCCCTGACCCGCCGTGTGTCGGTACTGCCGCGCTTAGGGCACGGAGCCCAGCGGGCCCTGCTCGGTTATAGTTAGCGACCTTCGCTGTCCCGGCTGTGCCCAACGCCTGCAGGCACTGGCAGCAGGGAAGGGCCGCGCTGGGAAGGGGCTGGCTCTTACCTAGGTAGATAACCAGGTGAATCTCGTACGTGTAACAGGATCAGGTGTTTATCCTGTAACACTTAATAGGGGTGTAGCTTTTGCTGTGTATGAGATCAGCGTGAGACCATGCTGTGCTTGGGTAATTTCTGTTTTTCTGGGGTAAGGTAATAGTCTGGGCCCTATGATGTGTCCGGTGTTCTCCAGCTTCAGCAAAGATGTGTATGGCTGTAGATTTTACAGGGTACTGAGTCTGATATGTGTGTCTGGTGCTGGTGGAATGGTCGGATGGTCTGTACTCCTTGCTCCCGTCAGCTGCTGGTTGCTGTAGGGTAGGAATGCAGTCAGTGTAGACACCTTTACTTCACGGTTTCTGCACTAGCCACTGTTTAGAACGTCGTGTTAAGGGATGACATTTATCAGTCTGTGCTGTGTGGTGATGTGAAGATGCCCCTTCAGCAAGGGAGAATAAACCTCAGTAGTTCCAGCGTACAACAGCAGTTACTATCAGGCTTAAATGTCAGGTGGCATATGCAAGTGTTGCGTGTCTGTGTGAGATCCAGATCAGAAGTAAATTTTGCGTAGTGCATACCACGGATGTGACAACTCTTGCATATTTGTTGGAGAGAGATACACTCACAGAGATGCACAGAATATGGCTATATTCTGTATCACTCTTCCCTGGTGCCCTAGGAGCTATTGCAGAGTGCTGCTCAGCTCCCCAGCAGAGTGATGGACAGCAAGTGGCTTCCTGCTGGTTGGACTTCACTGAAGTCCTGGGGAATGCTGTTAAAGAGGGATGCAGTGGTCTGCTGTCAGATTTTGTCTGCATATGTGTGTATTCAGCCTGAGAGGACTGAGATTATTAAGAAAACACTTTCTTACTGTGAGGCTGACTGAGCATTGGAAGAGGTTGTGCAGAGGTTGTGGAGTCTCTCTCCCTGGGGTCAAAAGCCATCTGGACATTGTCCTGGGCAGCCTACTGTAGGTGGCCCTGCTTGAGGGGAGAGGTTGGATGAGGTTCCTGCCGACATCAACCATTCTGTGATTCCATGAAAATGGCTTTGTTGTGTGAAGTTACATGCGGCTGCTTTTGAGCGACTCACTTTAAAAACTATGTGTGTAGACAACCTCAGAAGGATGAAGACATCAGTGTTTGCAGGGAACACAATTAACTGGGGTAATCTAAAAGCAGAATTTTGTGTCTAGGTCTGCGTGACACACCTCTTGCTCCAGTGTAGGCGTGTAATTCTACCATTTTATAAGGTTGTATTTTTAAAATGTGATTGCTGAAATGTTTCAACTGAGCTTTATCTTCTTAAAGTGAAAAAGTTCAATAATGTTATTTTGGGCATGGTTTGAAAATACAGTATCCAGGCTTATCAGATGTTAATTTTAAAAATTGTGAACATACCTGAACAGTGCATATACATGTCTGTTCCTCCAGATCTGTTAGCCAAATATATGCACATTCTTCTTTGTGCTTCATATATGGAAGAATGATTTTGTGTTTATAAGTTACCAGAATGTAAAAGGCTTAGAAGCCTTCCTGGAACATGAAGTGAGGTGCCACAAATGCAGAACGAGAACAGGCTATTTTATTTATATTGACTTTACGTGACCTTGTAGGGCTTTTAGCCAGGCTCTGTTCATGATATGTTAGGATCAGGTATCTCTGGTTGATTTCCATAGTTTTCTGCTGGAATTGAAAAGATTATTTACAACAGTGATTATTGGTATTTTTCTTACTTTTGGAATTTACCTGTCCTATGTTGGAGCTACAGAATCCTTTAGTCTGTATACAATTAACTTCTGCTGTAGTCATTAGCTTATATTTGCTTTATCTCTTTGAACCATATAAATTATCATTGACAGATGGGGCATAGACATAACTTCCAGTAAGACTGTTATGTTGTGATATCTCTAATATATTAGGAGTAATTTGTGTGTAGATCCACAAGATCAAAAAGGAGGCCATTGGGGATTTATGGTTTTGAGGAATGTAAGAAAATTCTTTTGCAGGTCTCTTGGTATGGTAAAAACTTTGGCTTTCTGGAATTTAACAATGAAGTATTCAGAATGTAAAATGTGTTTTTATTAAAACCAATGTGTTGATGAATTTAAATAAACTAATTACAGCGTATCTTTTTTACCTTACATATCTATATGCAAAGATTAGTGTTACAGATAGAAATCCATAATTTAATTGTTAATCTGTTCTCTTCTAGTCTGCTCACCAAGCTTGCTATAAAAATATATTTAGATATTCTAAGCTTGTACGTTAGTAGGTGCCATTTTCTGAATTTAAAAATAGACTGCATGTGTTGCATAAAATGCCTTTGGGCAGGAGAGGAGGGGGATATCTGTCTGGTTGACATGGAACATAAAAAATCTGAAGTATGCTAGAGCTAAATATACTGATAAGCATGCAGCTATGGGGAAAATGAGTTAAAATATATTGAGTTTAGTCTGATTAGCACATTAAATGCCAGCAGAACAGTCATACCCAACCTTTTATTTCACAAATAATCACCATGTTGCTGTGAAGACAACTCAGCCCTTGTAGCATGTGCAAACAAAGGAAATGTTCCTTTGGAGCCAGGTTGTGCAGGGTGCCGGTGGTTTGCTCTTTGTTCTGCCGGCGTCTGCAGCGCTGGTGCAGAAAATGGACGCTGCAACGTTTAAATAAACTTTGGATGCTGTAGGTTTTGAACTGATTCTCCTTTTTTAAAAGTGAGTCTGAAACAGATGTAAATGAGCACGGCTGGGCTTTTTGCGATGGCTCAGGGTGATACACTTTGGGATGCGAGGCTGCACTGCTTCCTTTGGATTAGTTCATCATCACAGGGAAAGGTGTGAGATTGTTGCAGGCTTAAGAATAAGATCATTGCAGCAGGAGGCCCTTGTTGAAGGGGCAGGGTTGGCCTGTCTGTTTATCCCTAGGTTACTTCTGAGTTGGTGAGATCTGTTATGACAAGCTAGTGAAAAAATCCTATGAGGATTTTCAGAAAAGTAACATGTTTTTCTGTCACTGTAATTAAGCTGGTAATAGAGTAGTATTCTTTTATATAGGTTGTGCATTTTAAAATCTCTTGGCAAGATAGCTAAAATAAAGTGATTCACAGGCAGGAGTACAATAATGTTCCTACCGTTCAGCCAGGTGTAACTTGCTTCCAGCTGGCTGCACCTGGTGGGGCTGCCCTGAGTAAGGGGTGGCTGAAGGAGGTGGGGCAGCAGGCACTGTCTGTGTCTGGTGTGATGCTCAGGGGTGTGCAGAGACCCTCTGTGGTGGCCTGGAGGGTGCTGGGGGTCCCAGGAGGTGCAGCACAGTCTTTTCTTCTTGCGTCTATGACTGTGTGTGCTGAGTGTAATGGCAGAGGAACCATCATCATTAGTACCCAGGAAGAAACATTTGTCTGGGCAGCAGAAGACAGAGATTGGAATGGGAAGGCTTGAGGTCCTCCTGCATAGCTGCTGACCATGTGTGAGGGTCTCTTCCAAGGCTCGTGCTTTTCTGAGGAGTACATTTACCTTTAAAAGAGCCTGGAACCTTTCATAGCGTCTTGGAAGATTGGACATGGATCGTGTTGGCAGGGAACAGCACTTTGACACGTAGTGCCTGTGGGTATGAGCATGGTTGGGTGTAGTTCTGTTTAATTCTCTGGATTTGCATCGCTGCTTTCAGCACTGGATTGGACTCTCTTTAGGCAGTGATGGTCTGTAGATATTTGGAGACTTCTTTAGAGTACTGCTAGACTTTTATTGTTGGGTTTGGAGGGTTTGCTGATTTTATTTTGTGACTGCCCTGACCTAGAGAGTTCTTTGTATGATGCAGGAAGGAGGTTTGGAAACAAGCCCTTGGGTTTGCTCTCTGAAGTGCTTCTGTCTGTCCAAGTAACTTTTAGGTCCTTTCACTTATTTAGTAAGTTTCTAATATAAAATCATGGAGAGCACTGAGGTTGGTTAGCAGTGTCAGCAATACCAATCAAACATAATTCAACTGACTGTCATATAAAGGAAGGTAAGGTACGGTAGGGGGAGAAGAACGCAAGTCACTTCAAAAGAGCTGCTCTGAAACTCAGCTCTGTTCAAATCTGGCTTCTCCTGCCCTCATAGAATGAATCAGCCTGACATTTTAGCAATTTTTTAAAGAAAAGGGGTGAAGTGCTTAGAATGCATCAAAGGGGTGAAACGGAGAACATCTGAAGAAGATCATTTTTTATCTGATTGATACCATCTTACTTCATGGCAGAGGAGCAAAAGTAGGTTAGGTCTTTGTCCTCACTTCTCACTTTGTCAAGTTTTGTATTGTTTTTCCATGAAAGGTTTTATTTTAGGAATTAATGTACACAATTTTCGTATTAAGCATCTTTGATTATATGGTTTATTAGAAGGATGTGGTCTTTAGGCCTTCCTGCTGCATACTATTTGTATCCTTTTCACTTTGAAAATAATTCTGTTCTAAAGTAGATGCTACAGATTTTGAGTAAATATGCAGATATATAAACATACATTTATATAAGTGTATGCATATTTATATATGTAGTATCTAGGGTCAGATATCCAACAGAGTTGTTTTCATTATATCAATCCCACCGTTGTAGAGGAGTTGACAGACAAGATTTAAGCATATTTTCTCTGCAAGTTGTAGGGGACAAAGAATCCTACTTCTTTATTTCCAAGTCTCTTGTTAGTGTGGAACTGCTTTTGACTGGTTGTCTTCAAAAATATCCAGTGCAAATCTGTTTGCCTGGTATTGATGTTAGAAGTCTTACAGATTTCTTTAGGAGCAAAGTTAGGGCAGTGCCGAGTCCATCCAGAAAGGTCTCTATTTTCAGTTGTCCTTGCTGCTGCTATTGAGCTGTAGAAGCTGAGTTATGTGTTTGAGAGAGACAGTTCTTTATTCCTGGCTTGTCTAGACTTTGAAAGAGCCAAAATGTGTGAATACTTTTTAGAATGTGTTAATAACTTTCCTTCTACTATGTTGTGGAAGTGTTTAATTTCAGGATTCCCTGCAGGTATAGCTTAAGCCATTGGGTACAACCACCCCACCCTGCACAAAAACCCCACACCCTTATTTTGTATGAAATTGCAGTAATTTGAGTGGAATTGTTAGAGAAAATAATATGACCTAATGATATATGTGTATTCCAACTTGAAACAAACTATTAATGTTTATTTTTTTTATATTTTCCAGAGACGCATGGAATCTCATTTAGAATTCAAATCACTGTGAAAGAACTGCTGGATACAGATGTACTTTTAAAGTTGTTATTTCATTTACCAGTCAGTTATCCATCAACTGTACCAGATATTTCTGTTAACTCAGACCAGCTTACAAGGGCCCAATGTATGGACGTGAAAGATAAATTACTTGAACAAGCAAAGAAGCATCTTTCTGAACCCATGGTACATGATCTGATTCTTTGGATACAGCAGCATCTTAAAGATGTCATTAAGGAATCAGCAACAGTTTGCAGTGAAAAAACTACTTCGTCAAAAGGAACAAGTGCAGAAGATGGTATCTGGATGCTCCTTTTGCATTTAGATCACATGAGAGCAAAGGCAAAATACGTGAAAACTGTGGAAAAATGGGCTTCAGATCTAAGGCTGACTGGAAGACTGATGTTCATGGGCAAGATAATATTGATTCTTCTTCAGGGTGACAGGAGCAGCATTAAGGTGCAGGAACAATGAATGTTGACTAGTTCTATCGATTTACCACTGAAGCCTACATGTCTGAATATTTTGTCTGTGTTTTTCTGAGATTAATGGTTTTGGAAGCAAATTGATCATTATGAGAATAGGCCCAGCAACTTTATTCTGATTTAAGAGAAAGAAGGTATTCTATATGAAAGAAACCAGTGATACTTGTAGACCTGTGGTCTGTATTGCTTTACTTATCACTGCAACTGTACCCCTGTATTCCCTTTGTTTCCTGACTTAAATATGCCTAGGTTCAGTTTCCTGTATTTCCCAAATGCCCCAGAAAGTAGAAAAAATTGTTATGTAAAATGAGTAACAGACATATTTCTAACTCATTACTAACTGTTTCTTTCCTTGACTTGGTGCTCCTCATGCATGCCTGGGCTTTGAAATTCTTGTCTATACTTATGAAGTCCCACTGCATTAGGTGGGTTTTTGTGGCAATGTTGGAGGAGAATGTTTTGGCTTTTCTAAATGATTTAAGCCTGCACTTAATTTCAAACTGATGAATAGAAGTAGTCATGCACTGCTTGGGATGGGCACTTTCAAAGTTTGATTGCTATGTTCTGAAAAAAAAGTCTGTATGTTTCATACAAATTTTTGCATTTTTTACTAAACTTTGAAGATACTCAGTGACATTTAATTTTTTTTTATTTTTTTATTTTTTTTTGTCATTTAGGACTATTTGATTCTTCAGAAAACTTGTAAGGTAGATGTGGACTCAAGCGGAAAGAAATGCAAAGAGAAAATGATGAGTGTACTGTGTGAGACAGAAGTACAATCACAGCATAAAAGGTATAATTTAGTAGTGTTGTGGATAGAGAAGTAACAGAATTGATAATTACATTCTGACAAATCTGGACATGTTAATGAGTTTCCCTTTTACAATGTAGGTTTCAGACATTTGAAGTCAAAGAATACTCAACACTGAAGGAGTTACAAAAGGAATTTGAAACTGCAGGACTTAAAACTCTTTTCTCTGAGTTTGTGCCTCCTCTCTTAAAATAAAATTAAAAGAAAACATGGGACCTTTGACCAAGGCAGTAGTTGACTACAGATGCTGATGGAAGATAAAAGGACTAATGTGGCAAATGTTAAAGCTTTTCTGCAAAAAGTGCCAGAAGTAGTCATCCTCTTGCAAGAAGAAGGCAATTCATACATTAAGACTGTTTTGCAGTCCCTGTTTTTCAATGTTTTGTTTCTTCTCTCTCATGGCAGAGTTTGTTGATAATGGTCTGCTAGAAAGCATGATTAATTTTGCTTTGGGAGATTATATGAAGATATTTCTGTATAAAAACATAGCAAACACAGATTTCAATATGTGAGGACAGCATATACTTAATATTCCTTAGGAGTTCATTTGCTAACTTTTCATTCTCCATTTAATTGACTATAAATGCTAGACTATTGATTTGAAGAAAAAGCTCGTGTTCCTTTGGCCCTGAAAAAACTTAAAGTGTCTTTTTGAATGTTAGTTTTAATTCTAAAATGAATAAAACCACCTAACTGGAGAATTTAAATTCATTAAAAAGCTAAGGTAAAGCCAATGGTAATATTTGCTTTGATAGTTTACAGATTTCTTTTTGCATTTTATCTGGTTTTACTGTCTGTGCATCTTTATATATCTTGATTCAATTAAACTGTCAGAGCAGCATATATACAGACTTCTGTCTCTCAAGACTTTGGTCAAGTTTTCTGGTTTGGTGTTTTTGTTTGTTTGGTTTGGTTTTGTTTTGTTTTTGATTGGTCAGTGGCCTTGGCCAGCTTATAGTTGTGGTTTTTTTTTAGTCAGTCTGTGTTTTACATTTACATTAGTATAATGTTACAAATTATATACATAATTTTATAAACTTTACAAGTTGTGCAAGTTCTGTTTGCCTAGGGAGAATTGGATACTTATTTCTTAAAATTATTAATGTCCCTTGGTTTCTGTTTTACCTGAAACCATTCTCTAGTCAGGCTAGATAAATTATCCAGTAATAAAAATTTTGCAGTCATGAATTTCTCAGTAACTAGCAATGTCATTTTGGTTGGTTTTAGCATGTACCTAAACATGTGCTTTACTGCTCTCTAAAACTCACTCCTAGAAACGAACTGTCTCATGTATTCTTTGTAAACTAAACAGATTTGATAAATTCAGTATAAATTAATTTATCTCCATTGTACTGGGAGAAGATCAGGACACTTTGGTTAGTTTCTGTCCTGGAAAATTATTATGTAAGATATGATTTCCAGTTTCATACTCAGACTATGAAATCATTCCTCTTTCTTTATATATTCTAGAAAAGTAAACTCGTAAGACTTTTAGGTTTTACTTTTTTTAGGGGTTTTTTTGAGATATCAGATGCATAAGGGGTTGTAGACGATTAGAGAGTTTCTGAAGTTTCTAAGGAGTTTGGTAATTTTCTTAATAGAGAGTGTCTCAAATATGTATGTTGCATGTTATTTTGTGCACTGATGCTTATTTAATGACATAGTAGCAAAAGTTCTTAATGAGTCTTTCATGTTTAGCACATGTAATACTTCAGGCACAGTAGAAAACAGGTTTTACAAATCTGTTTTATATTATTTTGAAATGGCTTCCTGAGAGATAGGAATCTAATTTTCCATCATTTTAAATGCATATGAAGATGAATTCTTACTGTTATAAAGAAGAATGAAACAGAAGTCTCTTTAAAATATTAAAATAGCATATATTTTAAATTATAGTTTCAAGAATTGAGCTGTTCTCAGGTAAAATAGCTATGTTGAAAAACTCTGTGTCAGCGGAGTATAGTCTTGAAAAGATGCCAGGGGTCTTTCCTTATGCTATGTGGATCTGACAAGTATCAAATCCAAGAAAAGGCCTATGCATGTACAATACAAAAACATAATCAGTATCTCTCTGCAAAACTAAATGTTGTAAGATTTTGCCAGATGGATTTCATGTCCTCAGCCAAATCTTTACTTTAAAACCCTCCAAATTTCTGGAACAAGAATAGTAAGGTACTTTAGTACAACCCATATCACAATATTTTGCCATTAAAATCTGCCTGAGGCCATATGCAACATGCATATAAATCTGTTGTATATGCTTTCTGTTGATTTTGGGAATAAGGTTGAATAGCATACCTACTCATGTGATCTCAAATTGCATGTGACTTAAAAAATAATTGAGGCATAAGTTGTGGTCATCTTTCTTGCAAGATTAGATGCAGACCCACTAATTCTTTTCTCCCTACAGAAAAGTGACTGTAATTAGCTGCACGAGAAAAGCTATTTGTAGGGTCAGTGGTTGCCAGTTTCACTTGAATATAAACTGATGTATTTTCTTGAGTTTTATTGCCTGATGCCTTCTTGGTCAACTGTTTGGCCGGAGCTGGCATTCTGAAACAGCTAATTAAAAAAACAGATAAAAAGAGCAAATGAGAATTGGGTAAGTTGCAGCTCTCTTCTAATCTGCGCTCATCTTTCTGCCAAATGAAGTTGTAAGAAGCTAGATGATTTCTGTGTTTCAGGAGTTGTAAAATGCAGTTTATACAATGGATTTTTACCATAGTTAAATTTGTTACTCACTAGCTTACATTGGACAAATCCACAAGTTCGGTGTAGGAAGGGACTGCAGGTTTTTTGGTTGGTTTGATGTGCTTCAGGAGAATTACAAATCTGATCAGCTTGATACTGTTCAGACAGCAGAGAACATGAAAACTGATGTCAGTCTGATTCTGTTAAAGCAAATGCTTTTGCCTACCCATCAGTCAGTCACTTATTTTGAAGGGTAGGAGGATATCTTCTGTTCACATGAGTAAACAATGTTTTTCAAGGCTGTTCTTTTGGAAGGATGTTGCAGCTGTCTGTTAACTGATGGTTTGTTTGCATTTATTGTAAAAAGAGATGGGCAAGCCTGTGAGCCCCTGGGGCACAAAAGTCGTCAAAATAGGTAGTGTGGTGCATGTTCTGCCCTCCAAGGGAACTGAAGCAGACACAGAAGAACAACAAAACATGCAGATACAGAAAAACAAAATGCAGGGAAAAGTCAAAACTCTTGAGCATTGTTAAAGAATGCCTATCAGAGTTTAAAAAGTTTGTGAAGTGTATGTAACTATCAGAATCTGACAATTCAGTTGCAAGGAAGAAGAAATCCACAAATCAAAAATGATTTAACAAATAAGAAGCTAGATTTCTTGTGGATATTATAAGTAGTTCTTCAAAATACATGGTTAGTAAAGCCTTGTTTCTGGTGGCCTATCTCGTTTCTAAACAATAGCACACATGAAGCCTTCCCTGCAGAAGATACATTCCTGATGGTATTCTCCCAGGTGGGTTCCCCAGTGCCTGATGTTGACTGTGCATAAATTGATTATTGTTTACATAAATCTTTAGAGTATGAATAGCTTTTCTTCACCTGTTACCTTGTTCATCAAAGTTGTAGGTACTTGGTTTCTTTCAGGTTGTTAATCTCTCATTTTAATTGAAATGAGTTAAATTAAAAAGTTCTGGGAGAACTTCATAGTATAAACATGCATGCTTCTGTACAGACAGCACAGATATGTAACCATAGTTTCCTTTGAAAATCAGGCTAAAATGAAAGATGTTGCAATAGGATTGACAACTTGAAGAATCAAGTTTTTAGGACAAAAGTGAGGTTTGTTTGGTCTTTTTGAATACTTTGGCGTATTAAGTGTAAAGAAAACAAAAAATGGGTTAAGAAAACAAAAAATGGGTTAAGAAAACAAAAAATGGGTTAAGAAAACAAAAAATGGGTTAAGAAAACAAGAAAGATCTAGAGGAGGGAAGTAACTTTAATGGAGGACATCATCAGTATTAGGAATTCACCTGCTTTTCATATTTAGTCTCATTAATTTCTGCAACACCCCCGACTCTGATTTGTTATTTGATGTTGGAGGAAGGACAGGACACTGTAAGAACTCATATACGAAAATCCTTGGCATAATCAATTAAAAATAATTGAAAGTAGATTTGATTGTTTTGTGAATAAGGCTGATTTTTGCAGGTTTGTGGTTCTGTCTCATTTTCCTATAATAAGATCATTTGTCTCTTATTTCTGACCTACAAAACTCAGATTAGTATAAATTATATGCAGAAGTACTGTAATGAGCATAAAGAAACTTCATAGAGGAAAAAATATTTTGTTTATGATGTCTCCTTTAAAAATAGTTTAATAAACCCTGCATATGGGTGATTTAAAACTGAGTGTCCCTTGATTTGTTAAGCTTTATCTGTGAAAATACAAACATAATCATGTTATAGTACATCTGAAATAAGATGATGAAAGGTTGCACTCACTGTATTTCTGCCAAAGTTTGAAACTGAAATTGCTTATATTATGAAATAGTGCAATTGCTGGAATCAACTTTCATATATCTTATAGTAGTATTAAGCATTATCATCCTGTCTTTTAGTGCATAACACATGCAACACTGGCAGCACTCTGTCTGGCTTTATATTTTCTATGTGTACATATTTTTATGTTATCTTATGCAAGAGTTATGATTATTTATATTAGTTATAGACATAAATGGAACTTGAAATGTGAATATGGTAATGCCATTTTGCAGCTGTTGTTCTGTGCCGCGTTCATGTATTGGCTTTTGTATTAGTTTGTGTTGTCTAACTTCAAAGTATTAACCCACAGTGAAGAGAACTCTTCAGAATGACAGAAAAATTTGCCTAGAAGACATTCATTTAAGGAATTCTTTGGACTCTAAAAATGAATACCTTAATACTTCCAGTTAATTATGCATTCAGATACTTTAATTTTATGCTAATAAGGTAACAACTGCTGCACTTCTTATTTTCTTTGTGTTTCTTAATGTAATACATGTTATCTATTTGTATCTTGCATTAGAACATAGCTGATCATGAAATTGGAGTCAATGTTTTATTAGTATTTCCCATTGTAAATGTCTGTGATTCATTATATGTATGCATTGTTATCTATTATAACATGAATGCAAAGAGCTATTTTAGGATGAAACTTGATACAAAAGATCTCTGCATGAGAACAATAACTCTTACTTTGTACTTCTTTTCCTATTGTCACCTTTTACATTCCTGCACCTATGGGAAGCACTCAAATGATCAGAGTTTTCTGGAGCTGAATTTAACAGGCCAATTCCCTGTGTTGCTCTGGATCTTGATGCCTGTGGGGTGGAGGTGGGGTACTCTGCAGGCCTCTGGGGGACCACTTTTGGCAACATCGAACTGTTCCACTGAAGGAATTAGCTGGATATTTCTGGAACTTTAAGCGGAGACTTGGGGGAGGTAATTTCAGCGATGGAGAAGAGGAATGGTTGACTGCTGCTTGATCCGAGCTTCACATCAGGAAAGTGTTCTTGGTACTCCTTTTATGTCAGTGCCATAGAGGGTAATAACCTGAAGTTTACACTTGTACTAGTCACAGAGGACAAGGCACAGCAAAACCAGTGCCACGATTTTAAGAATGAAGGTGGTAAACTCAGTGTACCTTTACTTTTCTGGGACATACTTAGAAAAACAACACAAAATGATTTTGTCGGTCTCTGATTGGTCACTAATCTGTAGTGGTTTACAAAGGCAGGGTACATTTTTATGGGAGATGGTGCTATGAGTATCTTTATATAAAAAAGCAGTTCTTTTTTAAAGTAAAGTAACTGAGTTGCTTGTGAAAGCACTGTCCACGTGAGATGCTGAACAGAAGCTGAACTGTATGGATTGAGCTGTGCCAGAGGCTGATTTTTATTTGGTAGAAGTGGAGGAGTTAGAAAGGAACAGACGGCAGTAAAAACTGGTGATGTGGCTCTCAGAGAAGCCAAAAGGAAGTTTTTTTGCATTGATTACTCTCTGGAAAGAAGTTTGGGAGTATGAGCAAAGAAGTTACTACTGTTTCCAAGCTTCAAGTAGAAATGCTTGAAATAAATACGCAGCTTCATTGTCATTTTCTCTTTTTAGTATAAGCAGCATGTAGAACTGAGAACAAGCAGTGGAAGTTTTCATGAGTATAGAGATGACTAACCTCACTCAGGAGCTGTAGGCTGTCCGCAGAGGAATTAGGACAATTCTTAGGAATTGTCCTCAAATGACCCAAGGATGACAGAGGCTTTGTTGAGGCAACAATCTCCAGAAGTCTCATGAGTGGAAAACCAGGCTGTTCTGGCTCCATGTGGTTGGGAAGATTTGATGGAAATGGTGACCAGCAGCTCCCAGGAGCAGATTTTCTACAAAATGGGCATTCTGGAAAGCAGGGGTTAAGAGGGTTGACAAATCAATTTGGGGAAAAAAGATTCTGCTTATATGTGGAATCAGAGAATACAGGTAAGTGTTTAATTTTTATGAGACTTCTTCTGCATTGATTTTATAGAGACCTGGCAATGTTAGATGGTCCTTGCTCCCAGTGTCTTGGGAGGCTGATGTATTTCAGTTCCATGTCAATTACAAAGATAATTTTGGATGATAATGGTGGTCAGTGGCATTACAAGATTTAAGTGCTGTAAACTTATTCTGGATCAAGGATTTGCAGTGCAATTATGAACCAGCCTATAAGTATGAATTAGACAAGGCACATCTAATAAGAGCAAAAACAGGAGGAAAAGAAAATACTGCACTAGAATGGCTACAAGATATCCAGAAAATCGTATTTCTGAGCTATTGTTGTGGCAAAGGAGAACTTCAGGTTTACCTTTGCATTGACAAGGAGCCAAATGCTATAAACTCATCTGGGTGTAAGGGTGTCAGTCAGAGTTTCTGGGCTGTATGGTGCCTGGAGCTTGGCACAAAGCATGTGTCTTTCATGCCAGCATTGCACCAGATTTCTTTCTTCTCCTTTTTTTAGTTGTTGTTGTTGTTGTTATTTGAAGGCTGCTGCAGGGAGGGAGCTGGCAGTTGCTTGCTATGAATTCTGTTATTTACTTCCTACAATACTAATTACTAAAAGATGCTACAGGTTTCCTTCAGTCTAATTTTGAAGAAGCAAGGGAATGCTTTTTAAAACAAACAAAGGAACAGAGATAAAACCTCTGGAGTAGCTGTTCATTTACATATTTGAACTGTGGAAAAAAAAAAAAAAAGATGTATCACAAGAAGAGGGAGAATCATAAAGCAGAGCATGTCCCAAAACTGACCTGGAGTTGCCATGTCTCTGAGCTCTTGCAGAAGCTGATGCTGGTGCTTAGCAGAGGAAAACAGGTATATCTACACAGCAGTGTGCATTGCTGGCACTAAAGAGCTCTTTGTGCTGGAAGATTGGGAACAGCTAAAGGCAAAGGCAAGGCTTGGAAGTACAGGCACCATGCTGACATTTTTAGGATCTCAGCTTTTGAACGGCCCTCGAAGTTGTTCAGTGTGTAACAGTGTAATACCCACAGGAGCTCTGGTACTGGCTCAGAATATTTATTTAACTGATCAAATCTATTGGAAAAGGTAGCAACACTGAAACTGTGTAATCAGGTCCAAAGGGACACGGTGAATGTAGAGAGTGAAGTTGTTCAGTACAGGGGAGCACTGGTTTTGAAAGCTTGATAGTTCTTGGTAGCAGGGACAATGAAAAGCTAATCCCTGGGGTTTTTTGCATAGTTCTTAGTAATAGCTATGTAAAAAAGGGAAAAAATTATTCTTAGTCATGTAGTTCCTGGATTTTTTTCTATAAATTCATTGATAAGTTGAAACATGAGTTGTGGGTAAAGTTTTAGCAGCAAAATAAGTTTTCCTTCCTTTAGGTAGAGTGTGAGAAAGTTTTAAGAGATACTTTAACCATTAGGTTTCTTATGGATCTGAAGTAAAAATGGGTTACAGCTCACTAAAAATTTCTTATTAACAGTAAATCATTAAAACAGTGCAACAAATACAATTTCAACTGCCATGGAATAAACTAAAGCAGAAAGATGTGTGTATAACTCTCATTACTCAGTATTTTGCAGGGACTCTTGGGAAAAGCAGCAAGGGGGTAAAATTTTCTAAATAGAAATGAGGATTTAATTTTTTTCGTAGCCAGTAGGAAGAGTTTCTATTTATGCCATTTTCCAATAGCAAAAATAAAAGAGATGTACTTCTGCAATACCACGAAGGGGGAGCAGAACTTTTAACAAATTTGTAGGTCTCATTCGTAAGTTTCAAATCTAAACACAAACAAACCCCAGCACGGTCTGGGAAGAGGTTACTTTAACGATAAATATACCTTGTGGTAATCTGAATTGATAGCTCTTAGGTTATGTACAGATGTATTTGTGAGATTATTGTCTGCACAGGTAAGGGGTGGGTTTAGGTTTTGTTTTGTTCTTTTTTCCTATTAAAATCAGAGGGGATGCTGAAATGTGCCAAAACATTTGAAAAAGAACCAGTATGTGAACAAATAACCTGCAGTAAACCTCAGGTCATTACTCAAGGTCAAACATGATGTGGGTTGTTCCAAAGATATGTTGAGGAATATAATTTGGGAGATGCTGGTGGAGCTCTGGGGGGCGGGAGCTGGAGCCTGAGGGAAGAGGCCATGAACTGCTGACCCTTTGCAAAATAAAGGGCCCAGGGACCTGTGGCACAGGCATGGCAGGAGCCCACCACCCCCAGACAGACCCCCAGACTTTCCCGCACTTAGATTGTGAGGGGAGAAGAACCCAGGCGTTCCTTTGTGCGGTCCCTCCTTGGAGGCACCAGCTCAAGCTGCTATTTTGTTATTTAGTTATTACACCACGATTAAATTATTTTAAGGGTCTGGATGTCTGAGGCTGTTTTGGGAAACTTAGGGTCGAACCGCTAAGGAAACATAGTCTGACTGTGAGTGTGGGGTGTGTAGCTGTGAAGGAGCTTCGGTCCTAGCTCAGGTGGTGCAAGAATGACTGCCAGAGAAACTCCTGGGTGGCCAGACAGGGAAGTTTCCTTAACAGGTGCTAATTTCCCTTTTACTTTTACAAAGTAAAAAGAGTGGATGTTTCACTGATAAACTGAAGACTGAAGTTATGCAGAAATAGGAGGCTTTGGCAATTCTAGAAAATCATTACATACTGTGATAAAAATCAGGAATGTGCGGTGGTTAATACTGCTCTTTGGTTCGTTTTGTTTCACAACCCACTGTGTAGTAAATGCAGACAGGAGAGCAATTAAAGGGCTTGTGTAGGTGATTGGCTTATGGTGGCAACATCCTAAGGTTTTCAGTGATGAAGTGTCATTTCCCTGGAAAATTATAGCTGGCATGATAAAACTGCTGCTTCCCATGGAGGGTGCTCGTAGTCAGGACAGACCTGGATTCAGTTTGCCAACACTGAGCTGAAGAGGAGGGCAAAGGTTTGTTTGTTCCAGGAGTAGGTATTGCTGTGAGCAGTGGTATCCCTCACTTTCTCTTACACCTTGTGTTGGTGCAGCTGCTGACTGAAGGGACACCAGAGGGGCAAGATTTCAGTCTGGTTGGCCCTGGAACTGAGCAAACAACTTTGGCAGCTGGGGCTGGAAGAAATGGGAAAACGATGTTCTTTCTGTCCAAGCAAAGAGGGCAGAGGCTGTTCCCAGAAGCTGTTCCTGGACACCTTGTGACAGGCACAAGGGGTTAGGTGGGTATCAGAGCTGGTTTTAGGCTGCATGAGAACTGATGCTGACAGTGCCTCTGGGGACTGTCACCTCATGTATGTTATATGCCACATTATCCCATCAACTGTCCAAGCTACATGGATTGTTTTTATATATGACCATTTCTAACCCTGACACAAAGGACTGTCTTGCTGTTGTGAAGATTGGAATACCCTAATTCCAGAGCTTTGTGCTACAAAACACCATCCTTTTGTGTTTTTACCATGAAATGTCTTTTCATTTATGTGGAGTAAGAAAATGATCAAATAATGAAAGTCAGATACAGAGCAAAATACTGAAAGTATGGGATGCCTACTGTCAATCTGTGAGAAGCCATCCACTGTCACTTATATAAATGGAACAATAATTGTTTGTTCCTCTTCAGAAATGTAGTTTATGCAGTCTATATAAAGGCAAATTATTTAGTGCAGTGCAAGGAAAATTCTTTTTTCCTATCTGAAACCAATTTAATATTAAC